TAAGAAATACAGGAGTAGAGATTAGAGATTATTTAAAAAGGACTGAAAAAGAAAAGAACAAATATTATCGCATATTATACACAACTAATACATCACAATTTACAAAATATGAACTCAATTTACCTATCAAATTATCTGATGCTATGGGTTTTTAGATGCATGCAGTAGAATAAGCCAGTATGAATTTGACAAACTATTTAATCAAATAAAGTATCAGCAATCGGACAAGAAAAAGAAAAGAGATAAAGAATTGAAACAGTTTTTGAATAGCACCTCCGATTTTGAATAAACAATGGATTTTATAATAGAAAATTATAAGTCATGTTCAAGAGTTTAGGAAAACATTTAGAAATTTTACTATAAAAAATATCTAGAAATTGTACTATAAAATATTTCTTGTAAAAATGTTATTTAAAGAAATATTATTTTAATATAAATATATATATTGTATTATGAACAAGTTTTGGGTAAGGAATATTTCAGAACTAAAAAAGTTGAAAGGAAAGAGAATTAATGACAAAACCACTAAAGCAACAAAGAAAAGAATTGATGAAATCATAGAACTATACACTGAAAGAAAAATAGCAAATGTAGCAACCGCCGAAAATTACATTAAAGGTTTAACTTCTGATAATAAAAGAATTTATGATAAAACTTTTGAAAAATATAAAAGCACCATACAGAAGTTTAAGGAACAAAAACCATTGAATAAAATAATGGAAGAAACAAAAAAAAAAACCAGAAGAATACATACTTTATCAATTTTGAAGTCTTTACCACCAGAAAGCCAGTGAATGAAAAAATGAAGCCATCTTTTAAATACCTTAACCAACCTTATTACATTGACAGTTTTGATATTAGAAATGCTACAATCACTGTATCCAACTTCCCAAAGGATATTATAGGACAAAGAATTTTCAGGTTTGAAACTTTAGAAGACCAATATGAAGGAAAAAAAACCAAGATTTACTGGAGTAATGTCTCTTTTAAAGAATGATACAGAATTTGATGAGTTAATCAATACCTTACAGATGTATTACCAAGATAATATTTTTCATTGTATTAAGATTACATCAGTAGAAGTAGTAAATAAGAAGGGTGAAAAATTAAATATACTTAATGAAAACTTGACTGGTGCTGTTAATGTATCAATATACCATAATTATATACATACACCTTTAAAAATGGAAGCATCAACCATTAAGAAAGCAATTGAAAAGGGAAATCATATAGATAATATGTGTTGGGTTAATGCCCTTACTGACTTTTACAAGGATACAATTATGAATGAGAAAACCAGAAAAAGACTGACAGTTGAAAGGATTGTTGAAATTTTAGGCAGAAATGACTTTTATGAAAAGGGAGCATCAATTCAGGAAATGGAAAAAGTATTTGTAGAATTCAGTATCCAAGCTAGAATATATAACTATTTAAATGCTTTAGTGTATAAGTATGACCCACCCAAAAGAAATCACCATATCAAGACCCTTTACGCTTTAGTTAAAAACAACCATATTTATGTTTTAAATCATGACCTCAAGAGCATTCAACAGAAACAAGAAAGTAATATACCTACAGTAAAAGCATCTACTGACTACTAAATAAGTGATAAAGAAAAACCACCAAAATTTAAGATGATAAAAAACATAGATGATATACTAAAAATTGAAATCGCAGAAGATACAAAATAAATAAAATTAATTGCTGATAATAATAGTTTAACTGAATTATTTTTTCAACTGCTTACTGCTGGGTATGAACCAAAAATAAGGTTTCAAGCAGGTATTATAACAGAAATCATAATGAAATTTAACAATACTAAATACATCATTAAAACACAAAATCTAGTTAAAACTTCTGCTGATGGATGTATAGCAGTTAGTAATGAAACTACATATAACAATATGAATTTAGCATTTTTTAATTTTCATAAATCTCTGTTTAATGTAGCCCATAAAACTTTTTATAATGATATTGATATTAAGATATTAGATGAAACTAGGACAGTCGTGCCAGTAGGCTTATTTAATCCAGATTGTAAAACCTTATCAATATTGTAAGTGCTATGGTATTTAACCAATTTGACATTTGGAAAACTTTTCATGACAATATCAATATTAATGAACTATCAGATTATACTTTATATTATGTTGAAGTGGCTGAAGGAAATCCATTATTATCAACTAAGTTTAGAAGTATAATGTTATTTTTCAACAAGAAGTATAACTTAATCTACGGTAAGTTATTGAAACAGATTACTGATACAAGAATTCTAAAGAATAAAAAAGTTTTATATTACAAAACCCCTTCACAAGTCCATAATGTAGATTATGAAGAATTATTCAACGAATTGAAGGGAATGACAATAAGTGATATAGAAGAAGAAGACAAATATTTAAAGAAACTTATCGTTAATGTATTGATAGGGTTATTGGAAAAAGGAGGGGCTACAGACCAGAAAAGTTTAGTATTCAGAAATCTAGCAGAGGCAATAAATTACCAGAGTGAATACGGTGGCAAATTACATAAACTAATACATGTAGAACAAAATGAAGAAGGATATGAAAGGGTAAAACAAAAGTCTTATATCTTAAATTTAAGTGATAAAGCAAAACTTAAAAATGGCTTCAGATATATCAAAGAACTACTTTTACAACAACATAAGATGACAATGAATGAAGCATATTATAAGCTAAGAGATAATGGAATTTATATTCATAGTGTTAAAACTGATGCTTTTGTAATTGATACTTCTGATGTTGAAAAGGCTCAAGATTTATTGAACTTTCATAATGATATAGGAGGATGGAGAGTTAGTATTTCTGATGATGATATCATACTACCAACTACCATATATGATATAGTGCAGAATGAAAAAGTAGAAATACCAACTTATCAGCATAAAGACATTGAAATTAAAAATGAATACGACACTGATAATATCATTGAAGTTATCAAGGAAAATAACCCAATGATGATAAGGGGTGTTTTCCCAGGCACAGGCAAAAGTTATATATGTCAGAAAATGGTAGATAAAGGTTTTAGGGTCATGTTTGTATGTCCTACTAATAGACTGCTACAAGAATTTGAAGGAGATGCTTTAACATTGAATAAGTTTTTTGGTATAAGTTTCGGTGATGTAAAGTTAGAACCATTTGATTATTCAGGGTATGATGCTATAGTTTTTGATGAGATTTATTTTAGTAGTTTAAGCACCTACTGGAGAATAAAGCAATTTGTAGAAGAAAATAAAAACAAAAAAATAATCTTAGCAACAGGAGACACAAAGCAATTAAAACCTATTCAACCATTAACTAACATTCAAGAGTATGAAGTGTATGCTGACCATATCATCAACAATATATTTACAAATAGTATATTGTTAAAAGAATGTAAGAGGCTGAAAACAAAAGAGGATTTAAAAAAAAAAAAAAAAACTACAAAATGTAAAAACTGATATTCTTGTTAATAAACTTCCTTTCAAAATAGGAATTGAAAAATATTTCAGATATACCACTAGCATAAGTGGCTCAAAGCATAACATTGCCTATTTAAATGATACTTGCAAGAATGTAGCAAGTGAAATTAGGAAACTGGAAAATAGAAAAGATGAATATGAAGTGGGGGAATTTTTGATATGCAGAGACTACACTAAAACCCCTACATCAGTATTTAATGTAAATTTTAAATATGAGATAGTCCATATTGGAAAGGATGGTGTTATGACATTGAAAAATACTAAAACTAATATACTTCAATCCATTCAAACTAAGAAGGTAAGAGATAATTTTATATTTGCTCATTGCACTACTTGCCATTCTGCGCAAGGTAGTAGCATAGATGGAGATATAACAATATTTGATTATAACCATTTTGACATTAGAAATTATACGGAGTGGTTATGGACAGCAATTACAAGAGCAAGAGATTTTAACAAGGTAAAGTTTTTTAAATATAGTGATGATGTAAATGATGAGTCTCTGATGAGTTCAATTATAAATGTATGAAAAGTAAATATGAAAGAAAACTAGAAAATTACAAGCAACAGGACAGGAAAGCAAAAAGAACAATACCAAAAAAAGGCTATGTAAATGTTCAATGGTTTTTTGATAATGTAACCAACCAATGTAAGTACTGTGGGTGTGGGTTTCATACAATTATTAAAGGGGGAAATATAACAACAAATTTAACTGCGCAAAGGGTAAATAATGATTACACCCATACACTGGAGAATATAATACCATACTGTGATAGATGTAATAGAAGTTGTGGAAAATACTAAGTATGAAAATATACATATATACATTCATATTTATATTTTAAAAAAATCAAGGTCCAGACCATCAACTCTGCTTCTTCTCATCGTTCAGGATGCTGACAGGGGGGTCCAAGGGGGTGGGTTAAAGGGGTTTATTAAAAATATTTCTTTTTGAAAAGTATTTAAATAAATATTAAGAATAATAATGTATAATCTTAATACATATTCTTTAATATAAATTTTCTATCAACATAACCATGCCCGACAATTTACCACAGAAATTATAACATATTTTTTGGGGGGATAATGGTTGGGCATGGTTATGCTGTTTGATTTTTTTGAGGGTTGAGGGTTGTTGTGGTTTATGGGGTTTTGTTTGTTGATTATTTGTTTATGTAATTTTAGCGGGTAATATTTCAACAAGATTTATCTTGTTGAAATATTGGATGTTCTTTTTTGGGGTTTGAGTTTATGGTTGATTGTTATGATTATTGATTGTGATATTTTTGTTATGGGTTATGTTGATGATTTTGTTGATGTTTTTTTTGAGGGGATGTGTGTATGTTTGGGGTTGTGAGGGTTCAGGGTTCAGCGTTGGAAGATGGGCAAGGCCCATTCTAACTGTTATATATGATGTCCTTTCCATCCAAACCTGTCGAACACAGGACACCCTCCCGCCGCAACTGCTCCCGCCGCTCCCGCCGCTCCCGCCGCTCCAACAACTGCTTCTTTCCGTCGTCGCCTGCAGTTGGATCCGCCAGGCTTGGCCACTCTGCCCTGCGAGGCGCCAGAACTTCCCGCGTCCCAAGGAATCGGGACCACAGACCTCGAGGGATCGACCGGATCGCACGGTGAGAGGAGAGACACGACCGAGGTGAGGTTCTTGTCCGGACCGGACGAGGGGGGTCTGAGGGTTTCTGCAGGACTTTGGAGGGTGAAATGTGGTTGAACCTTCGAGGTTCTTTTTGGGTGTCAGGGTCAAGAGAGAGAGAGGGCGTGGACACTCGAAGTGCTCGGACTAGCTAGGCGAGCTGCTATGCAATCACAAATGGATTGGGTAGAATATGAAATCTTGAGATTTAGGAGTCAATGTTCAGCTGGATCTTTGATGCCGGGCAGGGGCAGTGCAGTTTCAGTAGAATATGGGATTCTGTACATTTCTGTACGCTCCAGCAAGCCAAGGCTTCAACATCTCCAACACACCTGCACTAGACTCAACACATCTTGACCACAAACCATGCTAAGCATTCGTCTAGGTAGCCTTCATGTATATCGTGATGTATGTTCATGCGCTTGCCCTTATTGCAAAAACGGGAAAGCCGTTCGATGTCAGGAAGTCGAAGTCACATTGGACATTTCGCGCATCGGTGGCGCCTGGATCATCTATGACTTTGTGGATAAGACCTTTGATACAACAGAGCCTCAATCAGAACAAAGGATGCCAAGTATTTCCAAGGACAAATGGCCTGGACGACCACGCAAAGCCCCAAAGGCCCCCCAGAGGCGGCTCTTTTTGGCCGGGCCGGCCGGCCGGAACTGCATGGCTACCGCCCTTCTCGGCTGGATAGATGGCCTGGAGTGTGAGATGGGGCTCAAAAAACCTTAGGTGTAAGGGACCGACACTCCCTGAAATGATCATGGACATGGAAAGTAGGCCCTGGAAGAGCCATTTTCCTCCACAAAAGAGGTGGTGTGTGACTCAGAGGGTCTCACCCTGTGTCTCACCTGTCTCAACCCATACACCCCGTGGTGGCGGGGTGGCGGATGCTGTGGACTATCCAAAGTGCCCACTTTGGTGAACAACTTACAGTCGAGTCTTGCGATACTTCTGAAAGAAAACATTCTGTGCCACTTGAGATGTAATTATACAGTATACATGTTTGCATTTTACAGATGGCTTGTCCGGTTGTTTTCCATATGATCACGTTCAACTTCAGGGAAACCCTCTTGGCAGTTTCACAGTCAAACTGCACCAATTTCTATACTAGAGTCGCTAGTGTTTGCCTACTCTGGTATGTTTATAAGCTTAAAGCCTTTTTAAGATGTCAAACAATAAGCAGCAAATAGCAGCAGTGTCAATTCTCTTGTTGCAATCATCTGGCGGAGTGTACCATCTACATCTACATATAAGTACTATGAAACCTTCGAAGCTTTGGATGTCATTTCCACTTTAAAACTCCGAGATCCATTCTCCCCTCACCGCGTCCACTTGTTCCCATGTTCCTACTGTTCCATCTGTCCGTCTCCATCCATTCTCCACCGCCCCCGACCGCAGCGCGTTGGACCCTCCGTGCGCCCGACCGCAGCCTGCAGCACGTCCGCATCGCGCAGGAATTGGAACTCTTCGAGGTCCTGGATGCCGATCCTGGCCGCAACGAGTGAGGCGGAAGCCCAGCCCGCGGCCACGGAGAGAAACCCCTGCAGCGCGGTGGGTGTGTTGGCTTGAGAGAAGCGATGCGTCTCACAGTAGCCGCCTTATGATAGATACATGTTGATACCAGATACAAGTGCCCAAAGAATCCCCTCTGTCATGACTTGGTGTAAGATTCAGCTTTCTACTATCTACCGTCGTGCATGGTCATGTCATGGATAGCAGGATACAAGGCGATCAGAGACATCGATGTTGATAACAATATAACAGAACAGGGCCGGCAGCAAGAACTGCAGCAAAGCAGAATTAGATGGAGCAAATGTTGATATTATGTAGGCAAGAACGGAAGGTTTCAATGAAGCGTTCAGTACAAACAATGCATATAAAAATGATCAAAAATGTCAAAATAGAAAGAGTTCCCTCAAGCTATCTAACATTGTGCAGCATTTCTGGACGATTGCAGATTAATTGAGTATCATTGAGTAATGCCTTTGTTCAATTGTCGCTTGGTGGAGTCTTGTAAACGTTTGCGCATAGGTCACATACGTCAGAGTTGCTGGAGCCAACCGTCAGAGTTGCCACGTTGGACGTCGCTGTTCCTCTGGTTCGGTGTATCGGTGGCCAGGTGGCGATGGTCCGCCCAGTCTGACCACCTGATTCGGTTGACCAGTCTGACCCGAACAAAAACGCCTCGAACCACACCAGCGAAGCGAAGAACCAAGGAGGCACCACATGAAACAGCAGGTGCTTTCAACCTCAAATCTGAAGCAGTTACAAGCTGTTTACAGCTGAACAGCTCAAGGATGAACCTGAAGCAGTTCTGCTTAGAAGGTGCAGCTATCGTCTAATGTCCTCTGAATCGTCTATCGTCTACCGGGTAACGTCTCCGAAAGTTTAAGATCCGATCTATGTCAAAGCTATGGACATGGGAATCTAATAGCAATGACCTCCAACCTACTAGCATCTTGTTCCTAGTAGAAATGCCGTTTGTTACTAGTAGTTTTTTGCTACTAGTAGCGATGCCAGGAGCTACTAGTATCAACAACCTTACTGTAGTCCAAGATCCAGACATGAATGGTTTCTTCTGCACGATCAACGATTTATTTCGAAAGCTGTTCAAGGGACAATACAATCACTGCTACTCTTTCCAGGGTTGGTGGCTCCTCTCCAAACACGGCATAACCCTTTCGCACCTCACGGTGGATTCGTAGAGCTCCCCCTTGCGCAGGGGCACCATCTCAAAGGGCCTGGTCCAACCCCAGTTCGGAACACGGAGGGTCCGGGAGGGCTCTTCAGCTCTCACCTTCAAGCCTTGCTGCGAGGCTAAGATCGAGAACCGCACTTGTAGGCCGTCCAGGAAGCCACGATGTAGTAGCTGTGTCGCACGACCTCGAAAAAATAGAAAAGAGATCCGGCAAGCGATGAGCAAGAGATCCAGTAGCATCCTCTTCAACTCCCCATGCAATGTTGCATCATTTGGGGCCAAGCTCTACGAACGCAAATGCAAAAAGCTGCCTGAGTATATAGGTACACGAGCAAAACCTTAAAGAACCGCAAAGAGTGTTTTTCCTCTCTTGCTTCGAGGATACCAAAACCCAATAAAGCAAGAATATCGAACTCGATCCCCATCTGAGGTCATAAGCAGACCTTGAACAGACCTGTAAAAAGCTTCGCACTAAGGTACCACATGCATCTCATCGCATCTCTCAGGACTCGTTTTCTCCGATCACTTCACCTTCTACCTTCTCCTTCTACTCGGTGTCTCCAAATCACTGGACCCGCAACGGAGCACGGGCGCCCGCGGGGCAACTCAGCGCACGGGACGAGCGACCGCGACGAGCGACTCGCTGGGCCTGCCTTGATCGGCAGGTCCGAAGCCTCCACCACCTCCCAAAAGACCCTGGCAGCGGGGTGACGAGTCCAGTTGCGGTCTTTTTAGGTGGTTCGAAAAGGAATTCCCTTGACTTGGGTGGTGCCAAGAATAGTCTTTGGACTTCTAGGGTGGAGTGAGGGTCCTCGCCCATCCTCGCCCCGAGTACAAAAATATTTCTTGAGTCAAGGGGGCTGGTGATCGACGGGTCCGGCGTGACCCGGGGGCTCCGCGAGGGGCACCGGCGAACTCGTTTCGAAGGTCGTTCCGGGTTGAACGACCGGAACGACCGGCGACCCTTCAAAGGAAGAGAAGGAGCGATGGAAGATGATGAAGACTTGTTTTCAAAAAGGACTGGTGTCGACATGTGTCGACCTACCTGACGAGTCAGCGAGGTCAGAACAAGCCCGTGGGAGACCGACAGGCATCCCACCCGACGAGTCAGCGAGGTCAGCCTGTTTGGACCGGACGGTCGTTGGTCGCTCGTTCCCTCGCCGTTTCCTCGCACATTGGGCGGCCTTCTGTTGGGTCAGAGCAAGTCTAAGAAACCTGGAAAGAAACACATATTGGGGATTTACCAATAGGGAAAGTAAAGAACCTTAAGCAAAACCATGAAGCCCATTGTGTGTGTGGCTATTCCTCCGTGGCTTTGGGATGATCCTCGACTTCCTTACGACCAACCGGCAAAGCGCGGTCAACCTGATCCGCCGAACGCTGCTTCGGGTCATCTTTTAAAGGCATCACGGATCCTCTGAAATGAACTTGGAACAGCGCATGGCGCTGGCGCTGTCCATCAGTTGTCAGCTGTAAACATATGCAACCTTAGAGGAAGCATACGCAACCTTCGATTTTGCAGTCGAAACATCGCAGGCCAAAACCGACACCTTTCTTCCCACGCTGCATCCTCCAAGAGTTGTCCGGACTTGGCACAGGCGGAGTGTCCGGCGGCGCCTGTTCAAGGATCTTGGGATAAAAATCGGTTCGGGAGCTTAGCAACTTCACCACTGCCACAGTATATTCCACTTGGGACAGTAGCCCCTCCATACTCCAGTGCTCCTTGTAGGTGTCCGCGGGCTTATAATATTCCGTCTTGATATATCGACCAATCACCTCCTCATAATAAGTGGCTGGCCGGCCAATAAAATCATGCCCAAAGAAGAACCAGCACCCCGGCACTCCATGACGTACAAAGCTCCAGTGGTCACTACGATAGAAGAGCCCCATCTTTGGTTGCTGGTCAGGGATGATCCGTAGCTTTTGGCTCTCAGCCGCTTCCATCAGCAATGGGTCCAAGGTGCTTTTGCCAAAGCCCAAAATGGCCAGATCCGCCGTCTTGCCCCACACGTTTCCCACATCAAACGCGAAGGCCGCAATTGGCTGGATCAGCTGCCCGCCCACCAGCGGATGTTGAGCATAAAACTCGGAGCCCAGCATGCCACACCTCACTTAATAAGGGAACTCGAAACTGTTGTACTCCTATCAAAATAGTGTTCAAACATGTTCAAACACTTGGGATTCAAAATGAGAGAAATAGTTGGTCAACAGCACCAAAAGTCCAAAGCTTTGGGTCCCAAAAGTTGAGGAAAACAGCCGGCGATGTCCTTTCACAGATACTCCTCTGCGGTGGGCGCCATGAAAAGCACGGAGCGGCCCAAGGAGATGTCCTTCAAGAGGCGCGCCGTCGCCAGCATCATCGCCTCGAGGGAGGGCGGGCGCTCGACGAGGAGCATGGAGCGGCGCCAATCGCATCCCTCCCGAGATGGGTGTGCTCAGTAGGGAGGACCTCCCAGGCAACGATCCCCTGGAACAACGATCCCCTGGAAGAAGGGAAAGAGGTCTGCCTTTTGGATGATGGATTTGGGGTCTGAAGGTCAAACAAAAAAAGCACTCAACCCTCCAAAAGGCAGAGGTTTACAGTGGGAACCCCACAAAGGAAATTGGAGATCCAGAGGTCCGAAAAGATTGTAACGAGGTCTGCAAAACGTGGCTTGGGACTTTCTGTCAACGAGGAACCAAATCCCTGATGTCCACATACAGGTCCCTCATGTGCACGACTTGCAGTCAAAGTACGTGTGTGCGTAGAATGCTGGTCAATAGCGTAGTCCAACTTGTCGTGCCCATTTGGAGAAAAAGTGTTGTAGTCTCACACTGGTTCATTCTTCCGTTCCTGAAGATATATCACACTTATGCAAGCACGGGCGAGGCTCATCGTGCAAACAACTGACTGGGGCCCCAAACCGCACCAGCAAGGGCACAAAATCTCAAAATGGTGGATAAGCAGGTAATGTATCTGTGTATATATATATATGTACATCACATGCGTATATATATATAAATCTAAGTACAAAGTACAAACAGTTGTTTCAATATAATACACTCCAACAATCCCAAACTGTTCAGGCCAGTCCACCTTGTTTACGCACTGGTCCGCCATTCCATCCCCCAAACAACAAACAACCCCAGCCAACTGGTTCACCACTAGAGAGACCTTCGAACCGGTGGGCATTGGACAACCACCGAGTGGCCACGCCAGTGCAGTTGTCCACCGCTCCGTTATAGATTTCATTGCCTTGTTCTCCCAGGTGGTCATGGTGCCCAGCAATGACCACCACCTCGCGAGGGGCCACATTGCCAGAGATGAGCCCGAGCACGTTCCGGCCCTGCGGTTTTACTGCGCAGGAAGTGGGAGGAAGCAACTCTGATAGCGCTGGATTGCAGGATAGGATTCATAAATGTTGTATTAATACATATAATATATATATACATATGTGTGTGATCTGCTCGCTCGAGTTTTTACATGAGTGTCCCGAAGCAATGTAAACGGTCAATGAAAAAACATGGTGAAATCGCACCTCAAGGCAACCAAAATCGAAAAGCCAATCCCCAAGCGTTCTGGGTGCGTTCTTTTTCCTGTACCACAAGTCTACCAACGGGGTCGTGTTTTTTGAAACACGTCTACGACCGTCCAAGCCCAACATCCAAAAAACAAATATTACAGCATAGACCCTAAACAAGTTCAGCGCAGTTTTTATGTCAGCTCCTTGAATTCCAATGCGGTGGAAACCTTTGTACTTACATTCCCATAATTTCCTATAGGCTCCAGCTGCTTGAAAACAGCATGTAAACAAAAATGGGAGTGGGAAACAGGATGGTATCAAACTTGAACTGCTGCATCACTGTTGCATTCATAGCCACCAAAAATTGCCGGACAAGGGCGGTGAAAAAATAACAATTAAAAACATTTAAAAACGAAAACAGCGCCGCAAGGCCCGGACCAGGCGGAGAAGACAGGGCCCACAGCGCCAAGCAGGACACACGGCACCCGTGACAAGGCGGTGAAGAAAGGGCGACAAGGGCCACAGCTATTGTGGCCAGCCCGAGACAACCCCAACAGTAAACGGATGTCTTCCTCAAGCGGCCCAACGACAGGCCTGGCGTGGTCTTTAAAAAGAATAAGAAATGAATCCGCGCCGCCAGGATCGCCGTGCCGCACCTGGAAGCGTCGGAGCTGATATTCCACCTCATGAGAGATGCGGCCCACAGTGAAGGGCTGGAAGTCGGACTTGCTGGCCTGGCCACAAAGGTCTTCATTCTTCAAACATGATGGTAACCACAACCACAATCTGACACACCAACATGGAAGTAGAGAATGGCCCTGTTTCATGACTTAGTGAAGTGCAAAACGACAAGAAACAATAAACTTGTTGTCCGCTTCTATGTTTGCAAGTCCTTTAAAGCGAATCTGATTCGGTCAGAGGCACACGCCTCTGTGCACCAGCTCTGCAGAGTGCCACCAAAGGCCTCCGCCAGTTTTTCTCCTCAGCATGCATCGGTTTTCCGGAAAGCTTGAGGAGTCTGGTTCAAGGGTCAAATATCAGAGCTCCCAAATTTGGGGCCTGCAAGGCTCCAAACTCCGCCCGAAACCAGGCGACTCAGGAGAAAGGCGTCAAAAGCCCAAGAGAGGCATCTGCCCCATCTCAGCGAGGTGGTGCCTGTTAGACAGCTGACACTCCGCCAGACAAGGCCTTTCAGAAGAAACCGCCGCGCGTGGTTTTACAACAAAATTTTGCCACCCAAACCGATGAAGAGTGTTATGCACTGAAAGTAACTATTTTAGAGCCATGGCCTCCCTTTGACCAGAGATGCGATGAATCAAGACTTGGTCAGTCGCCATTCGCGACTTTCAGAGCTAAACCCCTCTGCTAAACTGACCAACCACGGTGCTGTATTTCGATCTGTGGCGCATTGCAGGATGGGGAAGCGGCGATCCGATATCTTCGGCGTCTTCTTCCGCGTTACACGGGTATCAACACATGATTTCAGGGCGGTCAGCAGAGTGAATGTCTTTCATACAAAAGCGCAAGAAGTAGAGTTGGGCGCAAGGAGTTGAGTGGGCAACTACTCAAGTGCCCAAACTTGTTTTGAGTGTGTGCCTTGTTTGAGTGAGTCTAGTATGACATGGTGAAAGATTGAACCTCTCGACTCCAGGCCTGCATCAGGAGCAGTTCACGGATCTTTCGCAGATGAATCAATGGCCAACATGATCCAAGATGAAACACCCAACTCTATATATAATGTACTACTGTACTACGTCAAACACACCCGCAACCAGGCAACGACCGAACAACGCAAAGAGAACAGCGTGCCCCTTGGGGCATCATCCTGAAAATCACCATCTGCAACTGCAAGGAGCCCATCGGGGCCACCCCATCGAAAACCTCCCTTGGCTTGGGTTGTTGTGCAACTGTCCGAAAAGGCCTTAGCACCTTCTCCTCTTCTTTCCAAGTCGCAGAAAACCCTATCTCCCTTGCCTCAACCAAGTATCCCATCCTTTGGCTCAACCAGCCCTGCAGCATCAATGGATTCACCTGGTCGAAATAACACCAACCCAGTCAGATTTGCTTTGGGATGAACGGCACCCACTGCTCAGACATGTGGTTTCACATCACGGGTGTTGACCGAATTTGGGAGCCTGTTTCGGTTTGGAACTCCAAACCGAGGTTCGTGCGGACGGAGCCTCTTCGTGCCTGGGGGGGTCTTTTTCAGACAGCAACTTATGGGTTTGGGACGCCCAAAAAGTAGAAACATGAAAGAACATGAAGGAAGGACCCCAAAAAACACCGAAGACAGGGGGCCTATGTTGAAATTCTAGGATTCGTCCACAGGACTCAGGACGTGGCAACTGTTGATGAATTGTCCCAAAGTTTTTGCCACGTTTAGCCACTTCTGTAGCAGCTAGTGACAACGCGTCTGAGCATTGGGAGAAGTCACTGAGCAAAAAGCACATCAAACATTGACTTGAAATGACTTGACAGTGGTACAGCGCACGTCACTACATAGAGTGAAAACACCCTCCCAAAACGAGTGTAGGAGAATAAGCCGAGCCCAAAAAAACAACAGCTGGTGCCGCCTACTAAGGAATGGCACCATCGCAAGTTCACCAGCAAGTGTCGTGCTTTTTGCCTATTAAAACGCGAGCCTTTTCAATGTGTCATGCGAGCATGCCAACACGGTGATACGTCGGCACAGCACATATCATGTGCCCACAGGTCACGACAACGCCACTACAGGCAAGATCCGGAACCCGGAGCCCACTCTGAATTTTGCCAGCAAGTCAGCACGACGGCATGGCCCGACTTCGGCATCTCAGCGTGACAACATCTCGCAATTCGCAATATTAACGGGACCCATGCCAGCACGCCAGCATGAAAACGTGTCAGCATGACACCACACAGGAACATCAGCGTGACAACGCGAGTCATGCCGGCGTAGCGGCGTGGCAACACATGCTTGAGGCAGGCCGCTTGGTCATGACAGTCTTTTTCGACAATGCATCCAACCATTCTCTGATCAAGTGGAAGCCTGTTCCGGAACCTCCTGCTCGGGAACCTCCTCCGCAACCTGCTCCGGAATTTGCTCCGGAATTTGCTCCTGAACCTCTTCCGGGACCTGTTCCGGGACAGCTCCTCCTGCGGAACCTGCTCCGGAACCGGTGCCCGAGCCTGCTCCGGAACCTGCTGCGAAGTCTATAACTGTGGCTGAAAACCCCTAAGCTTCGCTGTTGGGGGGAAAAGAAAGAAAGAAAAAATCCTCTTCTGGCAATGTTCATGTTTTTTTGGAATGGGGTACAGTAGACAACTGGCATGATCTAGCTCACTTGCCTGTTCCTTCTCCAAGGAGACTTTCTCTCCTTTGTAGCCAGTCTGTGTAACACTCCAGGGATAACCAGCAAATTCTTCACCTCAATTTCAGCATCAACGGCGAAGCTTACTGCTCCTCAAAAGCATGGAAATCACACAAATCACTGCGCAATCTGACAGGTGATTCGACAGCTTGGCAATCATAAACGCTTCCAAAACGGTTTTCACACTTTTGGCTGGGAAATCAACAGCATCACCCAAAAAGTCAAACAAAAGGCATAGCCATGCATAGTCCCTCAATCAAATCAAGTGGCTAAAATGGATGATCAAACACCCGGCTGCCCCTCGCCGTCTTGCCTCTTCAAGCTTATAGGACCAGCGGCCATAGTATAGCATATCATCACTTGGGAAGGGCGGAACTTGTGGTTGGTTGACCAAAACCTGTACAAGAACGAACCGCTGAAAAAAAAATGCGCTTGTATGGATTTATGATGATCTATGTGGCTTTTTTTGGGGTGACCTGAAACTGGCAACTTCTGCTTTCAGAGGGTGGAAAAGTGTACAGAATGACAGGTCAAGAGGCCAGAATGACTTTGCCAACCATGCTTTGCTCCTTAAAGTCATCCCAACTCAGTTCTGGCGCCTTGACGCCATGCCCCACAAAGACAAGGTCGCTTTCCAGCGATGACAGGATCTCGCTCTCGCCACAGTCCGTTGGATCCATGGAATGGACATAATCATCACCTTATCCGTCCAAGATCCGTTTCAAGTACAGTTGTTTCAGAGGTTCGATGGCACTGGCACCCCAAGATGTCCTTTAGAGAGGGGTCCATATAAACCACCGAGCTTGGGGATTGTGCCATCTACTCTGAACCCACTGTAAGATCAAGTAAGTGAACTGGGGGTCATACATAGTTGCAAGATGTTGCAAGCCAACAGTTGTCTTTCGATGACTGACGATTCCCCTCTGAAACCAACACCCTAGTGTTCCTAAACTCTTCGGCGGGTTCAGCGTGCCCCCATGGTCTACCACGCTTATTTCTTCAGTCTAAAGAAAGTGATGCTCTCCGCAGCTCAGGTCGCCAAATGTCCCCGTGATTTGAAAGTCCTTCACCTTGAAACCAAGCCTTGAGGTCTCTTCTTTCACAGTCAAGCCAACCATCTTCACCTCAGTTTCAGACTCCCGAAAAGACCAAAAACAGGAGGTTTCTGAGTCATCAGACCAAGTGAAAAAATGAAGATGATATGTATCTGATTGAAAAACATATGAAGACAAAAAGCAGTTCGCCGTTCCATATTCTATAAATTTGATTTATACTGTAAAATGTGTAAAGGAACGCAGGGCTGTTCCAAAAAAATTAGTTAATTCTGCGATGCACTGCTGCTTGCAGGGTTACCGAGTTACCTGACTTTCTGTAGCTCTAGATAGATGGGAGGTGTACCAAAAAAGGAAGGGCAAAGCAACTTGGCGTAGGTAAGCCAGGCTCTAGCACCAAAAAGACCTTTCCAGCTCCCAGTGGCTGTTTGAAAATACGTGCCATCCTCGCCTGCGGGAAGGCACCCGATCTCCTCCATTTCGCTGGCCACGAAGGCTGCAGCGACCTCTTCTCCAAAGGTACCGGGCTTGCGACCTCTCGCGGCTCCAGAACATCTGGTTCCACTCGCAACGTGAGGATTCGTGGAGAAAACCCCCCCCTGGTGGAGTACGCACTCCGTGTACGCGGTCAGTGTACGCGGTCAGTGTATGCGGTCAGTGTACGGGTCGACTCCAGAGAGGCCATATCATAAGCGGCTTATGATGAGCCTCCTGGAACTCGGCTCTGCCCCACTGTAGATGGATCGACTTTGATCCAAAAAAAGCTGCAAGCCTATCGCCTATCAAAGCATCAAGCCTATCGCCGATCGCCTCGCCTTTCAATGCGTCATCTGCCAAAAAGCGAATGTTCTGCCGCATCCGCCGTGCCAACGGAGTCTCCTCGTGGTCAAGCTTGAGCCGTTTGCATTGCAGCCCTTCCATCAGATCATGGACAGCGGAGGTGCGGAGGCTCTCACATACTCACTCAGTTTGACACACAAGCTGAACATCCTGAACCTATCTGGGTTGGTCAAAGGTGAACTGCTGCCCAAATCCATTGCTTCAACCAACGAAGCTTTCGGGGGTCGTCCTCATGAAAGGGGCGTCGCAACCCAACGTGGGAATAGTCTGAATAGTCGTTGTTTTGCCATCTGGGTCCTTCTGCTACTATGTTGGTAACGGCTCCATTGTATCATCGGCCATCTGTGCCATCTGTACCATCTGTGCTGTCCTGTCTCAAAAACATCGGCCGCTCTTCGATCCAAAATGAGGTGCGTCGATGCGGCGAAAAGGTGTGTAACTCGCAGAGGGGTGGTGGACGTGCTCTGAAGAGTACACTGCAGTGGCAGTGAAATATATACAGGCATCAAAGTGGATTTGGCTCTGGTCAAAACAGAACATGACAAAAAGAACAAGCCAACCAGGGTTGGGTCAACGCAATACACTCATCAAACATCCGTTTGTCCAACTCCAACATGCAGTGGCGAGTAACACCCATTCCTGCACCTTTTGCACAAACCTTGAAGCTTTCTTTTGGGAACCAAGAATCCGAGCGTTCCCACAGTTCCTACTGCCAAGGCGCTCTTGGGCTACAGCACAAGAAGCTACGAACTTCTATCTATTTGGGACCCACTTATACACAACAGTCAAGACCCAAGACTCGTATATGGGATCCTGCAGCAGATGGCGCAGGCGCAGCTTCTTCCCTGGCCTCTTCTTCCGGAGCTCTTCGTTCCACTGCAAACTGATGCGGTAGAGTGCATGAGGCTTCACCTCCCGAGGCCCGAGCCCAACCAGTCCGGGAGGCCAACCGGTCCAACCAGACCAGGCCATCGGTGATTGAGTGTTTGCTCAACTCAGTGATGTTTGGTTTGAGTCATGAAACTGGTCCGGTCTCTTCGGTTGCTCAAAGCAATTTCTGTTTTCTCACTTGGTAATTTTCGGTGATGTTCTGTTGCTTCGTTTAGGTTGGAGCCCATCGCCGCCATGTTCGCTTCGTCTCTCGCCTTGTCTTTCCGTCCATCGATCAGCCAAGTGTGGCCTCCGCTGACCGCCCCAAGGGATCGGCTGTTGTCCTTTGAGGGGCTCCTACTAGTAGCGATGCCAGGAGCCCCGTTCGTAGCGTCCTTGTTGCTAGTAGTAAGGCCAGGAGCCTCTAGCAGCGTCCTTGATCCTAGTAGTCCAATTCCATTGTTTGGGGGAGGGTAGCCTTCGCAAATGGCTGTGCCACATAGGGATGAACTCTTTCTTATATTGGGACGGCTAGGAGTCGAACATGGCTGTGTCCCGAACTTTGCTCCTCCAACACCTTCAAGTAGCTGCATCCCCGTTTCACCAACAAGGTGTTGCATCGGTCTATTGACGTCTATCGGCATAAAGGGTCCAAATCTCATTTACACCCAATATTGACCAATCATTTGGACCCGGTCTTTCTTGCTCTTACCCGCCCCAAAGCCGCGGTTGAAGCACCGCAATCTCCACCGTGCTCTCCGGTCGCGCCCCGTTCCACCAGCGCGTCTTCTTCTCCGCTCCGTCCCACGAGTGCGACACGCCAAAAATAGCATCGGTGTCGTTTTTCCTCCGCTTTCAAAGAGGCTCCCAGGTCGCCAAACAATCCGTCCCGTTGTGGGATCCGCCAAAATAGCTTCTCCTCTGAATGTCGAAAGGGGTCTTCATGTCCACCTGCCAGGCAGAAACCAATGCAAACGAGGACAAAGCAGCGACCAGGTGGAGAACCAGAGGCTTCTAAAGGGACATGGTTTTCAGTCCATGATGGTCGATCGATGATGTGACTTCGATGTAAAATAGTGCTCAAAAAAGACACGCACACGCAATCACACGCAAATCATTGGCTTTAAAGTATTCGGGCCAGGTGCTGTTTCACGATCAAGAACACCTCTCGATGCAGGGGGAAAATAAAACAAGGCACCTCGTAAAGGTACGGGAAGATCCGCTGTAGAAGCTGGACGACTTTCTGCACTCGTCGGTGTCCAAGAAACATGGGATGCAAAGACACCAAGACCGTCGGCCGTTTTTGCCGGAAGAAGGACTCCAGAGCAGGCACGATGACTTCTTCATGTCCCTCTGTGTCAATCTTTACGAACGAGACCTCGCGGATACCCGGCATCCTGAGGTAGAGGAAAATGGATATAAGAAATGGTGCAAAGATTTACAGTAAATCCAGTTGATACTAGACCTGTAGCCTATCTATGCCTATCTTAATATCCGAAAAAATTGTCTGGCATGACTTCCAGACATGAAGAAAAGATGAGTCCTTTGGAATATTTGGACGAGTCGTTGAGTGAAAACCCTCTGAGGGCCCAAAATGCTTTCAGAGTTCTGATCCACTCATTTCCTCTAAATGCCTCCTGGGTGCTCGTCTTGCAGGTCTTCAATTGTCCGCGCCTTCACATGACCCAGCTTCCGACGATGCCGGCGGTGCCGGCGGGGTCGGGGAGGCCCCAAGTGAAGCTTGTCCTCCGAGTCGCCAGAGTTTTCAATCTGCATCTCCATGTTGCTCCTGTCTTCGGTTCGCCATGAGCTGACGGGGGGACGATGGTGAAACAGAAGCATAAACAAATCAAACCACAAGAGTTTGCCCTTGGCTCCTATGCAAGGCTGCATGAACCGCAGAGACCCGATTTGATATGAACAATGGATTTGAGTTGAGGTTGGCAACCAGCTGGCAATAGGCCGTCGGGGCAGGCTCTACGGCAAAGACATGTTTGGCAAAGTTCGCTGACCACAGAACCGTTGGACCTGAAGCGCGGCACAAACGGGTCGACAGCAGGGTCGACGGGTCGACATTGACGGCAAAGACGGCAACGACCAGACGAACGGCTGCGGAACGGGAGAAACAGGAGTGTCTGAAAGCGTGGCTGAAAACAACGGCCCAGCCTATCCATGCGCCAATGTCTAAAACATATCTCCCAGGGACCATGCGCCGAAAGACTTCAAAGGTGTCCGGCTCCCATTTGGGATAAACCTTCCGAAGCCACTCCGCCCAGGGAGTCAGAGCGTCAAAGAAAATGGGCACCCCTTCCTTCTGGACGCTGGCAGAAATCGACCAGAACTTCGGGATTGCAAGCTCATGAGTCCGGTTGCAGCACTGGCAAGGCTCCTTATGAAGCGTTTTCTCAGCATACTCCTCCCCGCAACATCTTTGTGGAGTGAAGGTCTGGTCCCAACAGCTTGCATTGCCATATGGCCCAAACCAGGGTCCGCAACACTCCTCGTACTGGAAGCCCTCCCAGCAAGCTGGGTCATGCGCGGTCCGCCGCGCGGTGCCCGTCGATGACAACAGCAAAGAGAAGAGCTTCATTGCACATGGTTGCGGGCTGATTTGTGAAGCTACCCTGATCCTGATGCACTGGTCAGATTGGCTCCAGCCGAATCGGTTGATACCAAGCCAAATGACTTCTCTCTTGACTCCACACCTAAAGCACAAGAAACCTCCACTCCTAAGTTTTGTGGCGAAGTTCCCTACATCCGTTTACAAACTCCATGATGGAAAATTGGAAGTTTGCAGCTCGGACATCCGGTGAAGTGGCGCTGCGAATCGCCTCCAGACCGCACCGAGACCGCCTTGTGACCGCCTACCGCCTACCGCGTCGCGTCACCTCTGGATCCCGGGCCGCTGGGAGCGATGCCTGGGCCCAGCACCACGGCCTGGCGACGGGATGTGTGACGTCGGTTTCGAAAAAGAAAAAGAACACCCCAAAAGTCGATCTGCTCTTCAGACCGAAAGAGTCACCGTTTTGCACACATGCTGGCCACCAACAGGGGAGAGCTGCAGAGCCTCCCCTAAGTCCAACCACCAACACTTCATTCAAGCAAAGGTCCAACCGGGTTGCCTTGCTGCATGCGTTCGAAGGGAGGGTTGGCGATTCTTTGCACCCCTTTGCCCTCAACCGAAACCTGGTTTGTATTGCTCATGCAATCTGATATATAAGGGTGTCCAAGCCAAGTGTGGCTTGGAGGCCTCATGTGGCTTGATGTGGGTTCGGTTGCGGGACGAACGATCCATCAGCATTTGTTCAAAGCAACCTTATAAGCTTGATAGGCCAGCATGTGCGTGTACTGCATGATGGGGATAGTTTCAACAGTGTGTTGGACACTGTCAAGATTGCACGGCAACAGTGTCTCAGTCCTAAGGACTGACTAAGGCTTTCAGGATACTGTTGGAGCTGGAGCGCCAGCCCTTCAACCCGGCGTCCCATCATCAACCAGAGCTTGGACGTCCAGCCATGGCTGCCATTATGAGGGCCTCCAGAAACATCTGCTGAAGCTACTGACCACATGAACCACGCAACACTGTCCTGATCGTAAAGCTTTCAAGTTGGTAAAAGGCCTATTGAGGTCCCACGCAAAATCTTCGAACAAAAGCTCGCATGCTAACGGGCCAAAACCTGCTCCACTGCGTGTCTCTTCATGTCTCTTCCAGGTGCCTCCTTCAAACAGAACAAGGAACCCAACGTCACACGTCACACCTCTGTTCCCCCAGAAAAAGCCGCCCCCCGCTTCGCCTCCACACTCCCGCGGACTGGGGGTCCGCTTTTCGTGGACCCCACACGCGGCGCCTGCTCATCCGCCAGCTGAGTGGCTGGAAAGATCTTGAGGTCGTCAAACCTCGGCGTTTTCGCCGCTGGCCAGGCTTGAGGCGCTGACCCCCTCGCCTCCTCTCCGAATCTGGGAGTCATGTGTCTTCAGGGCCAAAAGGAAGAACTCGGTTGGGGGTTGATGTGTGTTTGTGACTGGAAGCTGACAGCCAAGCAGAACCACCCCCTGATTCTCCGGCCAAGCAGTTTGCTGCCAACGTGAAATGTTAGAATCTTTGGGATCATCAGAGATCTCGCTTTCTTGGCAGAATTGGCACCCACCCATTTCGCAAAGATGATGCTGGAAACGTTCTGAGGTGCGCACCCGTCACAAGAAATTTGGAACTGCTCGCACAGCGCCTGGAGAGAAGGCAAGCTCATGCCTTGTGACAAGGAACAAGAAAATGCTCAAGAAATACCTGAAGAGACGTGGTATGCCCAACAGATCCGAGTGTTTACAGGCCTCACGGAATGTTGTCCATCAACAAGCAATGCTTTTGCTGACAAAGGGTGGCTCATGGCCCACGGCCCCCCCGAAAAAAACGATACCATAAGATACCCAGTTGTGCGGCGATGCAAAACCACATAAAAGAGACTGTAAGACAGGAGGATGCTGGTTGAAGTCCTCAGGTTCCCTGACAGACCGCATCTCCCGGATCCCGTCTTCCAATTGCTAGCGGCGCAAAGTGTGTGAAACTTCACGTCGGCCACCACACGTCGGCCTCGCCCATCATGATGGCATAGCAGTGCGACTTGGAGGATGGGTCCCAAGTCCTTGACCACGCGCCGTACGGCGTGCTTCACGGCGTACGGCGCGTTATACGGCGCGTGCGTAAGGCGTAAGGCGAATGACAGCGCCGTGTTTTGGCAGAAACGGCGGGCAGAGATGGGGGAGAGTCGATGAGAATCTGGTGGTACAGGGTTCTGCCTGGTTTCATCCTCACGTTCACAGGGCATTGGAAGAAAGGGCCCCCTTTACGCATGAAGAAGGATGAGGGCGGAGTTGTTGAAGGCCAGCTTGTTGGCTTGGGGTGTCCCTGTTTTAGTGCAGGGCATCTATCTGGCATTCAACTTGCCGCTGCTGCAACCGAGACTCTCATAGACTCTCTCTATCATTATGACGTTCGTCTAACTCCCTGCAGAACGCCGAGATCGTGCGAGATCCCACCTGAAGCACTGAAAACCTGATGCGCCCAACCTGATGCGCTGGAAGAACCAGGCATGCTCCAGACAACTGAGATCAGAGCATCTTGCCGTAGGACCAACCATTGGCACTGCTCACAACGAAGTACCTAGCTCAATCATGCTCAATGGCGCAGGTGGCGGATCAGCACCAAGGAAATCTCGGCACCAAGAGGATTGGTTCACCATAAGACTGGCTCGCTGAGCGACAAAAAATAGAGTCGGCAGTATGGGGTCCAAGCAACTGCAGCAATACGAAGCTCCATGTAGAAAAATGTGTCCCTCTAAATGTGTATTGGAACCGCTTTTTCTGACACCACCAGCAAATACGACAAGAGGATGTCGAATGGATTCGGCTCCGTGCACGCCTGAAACACGGGGTCGTTTCAGCACCGGTGCCACCGGTTTTTGTTCGGAAACACCGGTGGCGGTTTCGGGTCCGGGCACTCCGTCTTGCCCTGGAGCTTCGCACCTAGCTGTTGGCTTTGACCAAAGAGGAGCACCATTATATACTGCTTTCGAGTATATAAGACCATGGGATCCAACAGGGGAATGGGTTCATGAAGAATAGCATTTCGATGAATTTATGTTCATCCGTTCATACCAGGGTATACAGCAGCTTGGCTCGACAGCATCTACAATCTACAACACTTCATCCGAAGATTGGCCCGTTTTTAGCGACATGTTTGCCAAAAAGAGAAGCAGCGAAGCAGCGAACTCCAGTCCAGGAAACGTTTCGATGAGGACAATAAAAAAAGCAACATGTGTCGTGTGAGTCTGTCTGTGTGAGCCAAGCAAAGGGGAGTGGAAGAAGAAAGAGAGGAAAAGCGAGCAAACCAATTGGCAGGGTAAACCAGAAACCACGAGAACTGGAGTTCTTGCACTCTACACTCTGAGTCCAGTGCCAACCGTGTACTCACCTCACCATGGCGCAACGACGCACACTTTTTTGTGCGGCCCCCCTTTTGATTTTATATTTGAAACACAGTGGAAGATTCATGTGTGACACCCACGTCATGATTTGGTCAAAACCCTTTGACATGCCACAAAATGGCCATGCGCGGTCCAACCAGCCCCGTTACTGCTTCTTCAGGTTATGGAATACAAATCTAGCCAGGTGAAAAATGCGCTTTGGATAAACGAACATGCAGAAGACTTAAGAACGATCAAATGCATTTGAAAAGCATTCATTGTGGGTTCTAGGTGTTGACCCAACTCCTAGCCTTAAGCTTAGTGGAAGTTTGCAGCTGAATGGGATGAAGCTGACAAAGATCAGACATTGGGGTTGCAGCTGAACCCAAAAGACGACAGGGCATTTTGGTCTCGAAACCACCTTACTTCCCCCTCTAATGCGTGAACCTTGGAGTCCTCCAAAATCCTTGTCCCATGCGCCCTTCTAATGCCCCAAGAATTGTGAAAGCAGACCACCAAGGCATACCCCTTTTTGAAGACATTTCACTCACGACTTAGCAAACAATCCGACATTTGCACTGCCTGGAACTGACATGTAAGTGGAGAATGGCTCCTTGGAAGACAATTTTCCACTACAAACAGGTGGTTTTCCACTTCCATGTTAGTTCCAGGGAGAAGTACTGACCTTTTACCACACTGTTCTCACTCCGGACCATTCATCTCACCGGGTCCAGCTTGCTTTCGCCAGGGCACCACTGAGTCCTTCGGTGGAGTCACCATGCTCCGTCTCAAAGGGGTCAACGCCTCGTCTGATGCTTTCGCACAAAAGACATATCAGACGGACGGACATCTCCATCCACCTGATTCCATCTCTTGACTCATGGACATAGCGAGGACATCTACATGGTCCATACCGAGGCCATTTTTGGTACACACACCTGTCCTGGACTGGACCATCGTGTCCACGACGCAGACTCGATTCATTAGGTGGGCCAAGCAGAAAAACACACACAACGGCGCAAAAATACGAGTGAAAGGCCTGGAAGGGGCATGGTCAAACTTCCAAAGGCTTCGATGCAACGGAAGATCCGGTCGCAGCCTGGGCGAGTGCGCCACATCCATGAGGCGCTTTGGCACTCCACGAACCCACGCCAACAATCTAAGTTTGCATGTAGCCGGTCATCTGCAAGACTACGGAACCTGGTGTAAACATGCGTAAACTTCAATATACTTCAATAAATTTCAATAATATATTGCAGGATGCTGTAGGCTTGCCATACCAATGCTCTCGATCGTTCAAACTGTTCTCTATTTCGATCAGCAACACCACCGAAGTCTGGCCTATCCCAAAACCTTCGGGATCCCTTCGCATTGGCCACCTGGCCACCCCCAAACCACCACTCCCCCCAGCCACGCGAGAGCTGGGACCCTCCGGCCGAAGCTCATGCTCGAGCGATCATGAGCGGTGTTGCGATGCCCAGCTTGAGCGCGGCACTGGGCCCCGTGGAACGGAGGACGGTTGCTCTCCGGATGTCCCGATCCTGGGGAACTGCGTGCTCTATCCTTTTTGTGACTGAGCCCCACAACTGCCCCACGTGCCCTTCGATGATTTCAGCGATCTTTCAGGACCGGAAACTTTCCGTGAGAAAGAATCAACTGAGCCCCGGCCCGGCCTATCCAGGTCTTCCGAACCCGGTCACCAAGACCGTCCGGGGCGGGGCTCTCCGGTGTCCGGGCATCGAGCCGATCGAACCCGCGTCTGGACGTCCAGACGCGCGGGGGGAAGTCAGGTTCAGCGCCCAGGGCAGAAACCTGGTCAGAAAAAAACAAAAACAAGATGGAACAAGGCTCTACCCCCAGACCCCCAGACTTAAACGAGAACCCTTCGCTACGCATTCGGCAAAACAGAACGTTTTGCTGGAGGGTTCTACTGGCACTTTTGGGGGTGTTGGGGTATGTAGCTGATATACGATGTCATAGACGAAATAGAGCCTGTACTCTTCTGGTTTTTGGGTCACACCGCCACTTGCCGCATCTCGGCACGGCTGAGGTGCTGACCCAGATGTCACCACGGGCCTCCACGCACATCGCTGGCAGCGATGGATGCGCCGAACCGAACCCTGGATGCGAGCCTCCTCGAGCCGCTTCCTCTTTGCTGCTAGCGCTGGCAGAAAAGTGCCGCGAATCATGAATCCAGTGTAACCTACACATATTCATATATGCCATCCCTTGACCTTGGGACCTCTTTTCTGGAGGGGAAGAAAAGGAACAGTTCCGGTTCAGGTGCTCTGGTCTTCCACCCCAGCGTGAAAAACCAGGTGCCCCGGCATTGGACCCACCAAAGCCGAAGGACGAGACTCCAAAGAAGCCGGTCTCCTGACACCGCTCGACGGACGAAACCCACCGGCGACACATGCCCATCCCATCAACGTCCATCCCAGAACTCCCCAGTGAGAAACCGTGTGGTAGATCCTGCCGAGATCCTGTGAGCGTGCCCTTCGTTTTCAGAGTACGAGTTGGACCCAACATGTGTGGAGCCGAGACGAGTTGCCTTCGGTACAAAGGTGCTCAGTTCCTTGCGTGAAGACATCGCCGCACAAACGTCATCGGGTGAGGCGCTCAGGAACACCAACGTCATCGGATCTCGATCATCCTTGCCCTGGTCCACAAACTCTGGGGTGAAATAGACCGGGTATGCCTCGAAGCGTTGTGGTGTGGCGTTGGGTTGAGGTAACAATCCTTGCGGTCAATATGTTTCAATATATCAACATATACCAACCGGTTCTTTTCCAAAGGGAGATATGATGTTGCAGATTTGTACTGCATTGTAATTACTCTCCTCAAATCCCTTTTGAATTTAAGTCTCTTCATTTGTGACCAAACTTGAAATAGCTCTGCACTTGATTGACCACTGAGCCCGTCACGGCGTCATCAATGTGAGGGTTTAGCAGCCTTCCATACAAAGGCCGAGGAGCAACGGTCACAGGCCAACTCGCTGGCGATTTACAGCGCTTCACTGTCAACCCTATTCTCTCTCGCATCTGAGAGCAGTTCTTTAAAGAAAAATGAAAAAGCAAAAAAAAAGAGGTCTAAAGGTCGAAGGAAGTCTCCGGAGATCGATTCGATGTGACCGTTCCAGCGGCTTCAAACCCACGCACCTCAAGTGGATGTTCGGTGCCGAAACAGCAAAGCATCCCTGGCGATCGGCTGTCTGCGGGACCCTGGAGCCTCTCAAGAGGCCAGACTGGCGGCTCATCAGGCAGACTTCCCCCAAACTCAAGCCTACCTAGAGAGCCCACTTGACCATATTTGACCTCTGTGTTTATAGTTAAAAGGTTGGTTGGTGGTCCAACATAGAGGTCATTCAGGTTCTAGGTACACACTGGAAGGACGCAACGTGCAAGGACACAACATGAAAAAAGGAATGTTTTTTTGTATATAGACCCCCAAATAGATAGAAAAGTAGATGCTCGCTGAAAATGTATTGGAAACCGTTTCTATCTATTTAGGGATCACTATAGGCATGCGGGAGTTGGTTTCGGGGATCAAGTCTGGATGACTTAGGACTTAGGCACAGACCATCAGCACACATTTCATGAGTCCGTTGATCCCTGCCTCAGCGCGCAAGGGCGGCACTCCAAGGAGAGACGTGGAATTGTGATCGGATGGGTCATAAAGAGAAGCAGGCAAAGCAAAGACCCTCTGTTTGTTGGCACAAGTGGAGCTACCTCTTTCTCCAACAACCTGTTGTTGAGGTTCAGCCTGCCATCTGTGAACAAAAGCTTGAGTTCTGAAAACCGTCCTGAAAACAAAACAAACCACTGGTGAATCGCAGTCATTTATCATTGCTCAGTGAACTCGTACACATAGAACACCTTTTTTGCACTTTGCTAAAGCCGTATGGTCGCCCAGTGGCTTCACCACATAGAACAAAAAGAATCGAGAACCAGAATTGGGGGTCTTGTGGACCCCGAATCGGGGCTATGATGCAGTAAGTTCCTTGTCAACGAGTTCAGAAATGGGATGAACGCCATATGTTTTCTGCACCTGGATTTTCATCCATCCGGGCTCCTGGCTGACATCTCTGTGTGCCCCAAGTTGGATTTCGAGCTGGTCTTCACCAAAGGATGCTGTCTCACTTGACCTGCTGCAGAGGCCATTCGAACGAGCCTTGTCTAACGGCATAGGGTACCCCTGGGCCATCCGCGTCGCGATCGATCGGGTGAAATGATCGGCCGTTCGTCGTTCGAACTCTTCCGGTGTCTCAACCAGCTTTCGGACCTTCGTCTCAGGTTGTGAAGGGAAATGGATGGAAATGAATGGAAATGATCACTTCATGAAAACTTCCAGACGGTCTTTGATCTTCAATGCTGCAAACTGGACTGTAAGAGGACTGGTTGAACGTTCAGAGCCGGGCACATGTCAGTCAGTGAAGCAACGGACGGGAATTTCCTGGGGGGGTTCAGGTTTGTCAGGTAGTGAGCAATCAAGGTCAACTTCTGGTAGAATCTTACCTGACATTTTCTAGCTTCAAGTAGTTCCTCGTATATGATCGTACATGTATAAATATAAATGTGTTTTATGTTTATCATCTAGAATCTAGAATGTTCACTCAATCCGATTGGCATGGTGCGCCCTCGATTCCGCAACAACAGCCTCGCTTGGCCAACGCAAGGGCTTGAAGGAGGCAAACCTGCCTTCCATTGCCCTGTTTGACCTCGAATTCCCGTCTCGCGAAGATTGCATCTCCAATACCTTCCTCCCCCCCCGCACTAAAAAGAAGTCCAGGAGTCCATCCAAAACGGTCCATCCAAAGGAGTCCCTTCTCTCTCCGTCTCCCCGCTCCGTCTCTCCGCCTTCGAAGCGCATCATGGTCGCCCGCAAGGCGCCCACCTGACACCCAGAGCCGGGTGTCCAGCTGAGAGACACCTAAGACACCCAGGACTCGGCTGGGTTGGGTGGGTAGGGTGCAGTGTCAACGAACTGAAAAATAGCAAGACTGTCAGACTGACCTCTGACCATCTGAAGGCCTTTTAAAATGACACAGGCGACTTCGGTCCTGGACCTCTTGGGTCCCCTGTCGACGTATGACGTGTAAAATCCTGTGTGGTGCTGAGAACACAGCGGAGGCCTCTGGACCTCTCCGTGCGCCACACGCGATCCCACTCGCCATCGCACCTCGATGGGATCACCTAAAGCGGTCCCGGTGCCATGGAGCTCCTGCTGCGCGGGGCAGTGGCATGCGACGCGGGATGCTGTGGCACCCGGATCTCCCAACCATGGCACCCGGTTGAACTCCTTACTAGTCCATTCTGTTCAATTTCTCTGATCAACCCAGGTAGCCCGGTTTTGACCCACAGCCATAGAGGATTTGTCCGTTTCGTGCGACCCTGGGGCGTGATGGTTTTGATATGGGTCTTCGATGAGGAGCTCTGACTGAAGTGTTCTTGTTGGGAAAAACTGGGGAATGACCCTGAGGCTGGTCTAGCTTGGGGCCCCGGCACCTCCACACGTGTCGTACCTCTACGCCCACCCGATCTGGCAGAGTGTCTCAAAAGCAGGGCATGCCTGTTCGGTGAGCTTTTCACACATCTCTCGAAAAGAAAAAACAATGCCAATTCCTCGTTGCACATGAGGTCCCCTCAAAATTACGGGAAGTGTTGCAAGAAAGGCTTTCGCTTGGAAGTGATGTCAACCAGTGAAATCCTTTCCAAAGTATCCCTTTTGAAATGAACAAAAAGGTCCAGCTATTAATTACATTGCAGGACTTGTGGTTGGTTGGTTTCAATTTGGGGTATCCAAACCACCTGTCACGCAGATCCAGTCACCCTCACGCAAATATGGAAGTGACCCCAAAAGTCATGACAATTCCAAAGTCTGCTTCTGATGTTCTTCATTCTTCCATAAACGATCCTTTTCGACACAAACCGAACACCGAAAAGCCGAAACCTGATCTCCGAAAAACGACCCCCGAGAAAGGATCCCCAAGCGAAACGTCCCTCCGGTCGGGAACGAGCGATTGCTAGAATCCTGAATCTGGATGTCCAAAGGCTTGATACCAGCTTCTCTCAGGGAAGCACGGATGCACTCCTCACGGGAGAGGAAGCTCACCGCAGCTCATCGCAGCTCGTGGTGTTGTGTTGGACCCGGTGGACCCGGTGGACCGGTGAACGTCCGGTTTGGTTTGTGGTCCTGCGGACGAGCAGGTGAAGAGGTAGGAACTGGATCAAGAAAAACATGACAAATATGGCACTGCGCATCTTCGCCCAAAACAAGAGGAAAGACACTATAGTCGTCCTCAAGTGGCCTGGAAGAATGGATCCCTTTGAAAATTCATCATCGTCTTCCACATCACCCGAAATGAGACGTGGGTCACGCAACCTCTGCAATCACCCAAGCCAAACCAATCCGCCGCATACAGTTCCACACGGGTCTGTGGCAGTCTGTGGCTTATTTGTTTTTGAAGTGGATCAGTGGCACAGAAATTCCTCTTCGGCACCCTAAACAGGAACGTCTGGCAGTTGTATGTATGTATCGAAAAAAACAGCAACATGTAAAACCTGGTCTCCGATTTGATTGGCGAGGATTCGACGCCAAAAAAATGCCTCAGCCCGTGGTCAGCCAAGTCTGGATCATCTCCCAAGCATCCCGTGCTTTTCCAAACTTTAACTGACCTATCATCCGTTCGAAAGTTGCAATGGCCTATCCACAAGGATGTCAAATTATCTCAGCCGCTCTTCTCCGGATGCGACTCTTCCTCTGGCTGACCGGGGCCTCGACTCACCCGTTGACCCCACCGAAAGGAGCGCGGAACACCGTTGACGGGGTAGGTGCCTGCTGCGAGGGTCCATGGGGTGCCGTTAGACTGGCACTCCTGCCGTCCTGGCCGTGTTTGGAGACGACAGCAACCGGCAGACGAAGCTTCCAGGAGCGAAGAGACTGCAAGGTCGAGACCTATCTTAACACCCAAATGAAGAGGACTTGGGAATTGGATTGGTCATCATGTGCACATGAGTACTTTTGATCTTCCCGTAGGCCGTAGGGTATCTATGGTGGTGCAGGATGCTGTTGATTTACCACAGATGCGGAACACCAATTCTGTTTTAAAAAAGAGTATGTCACTGACTATATCCAAAATACATTGTCAGACCTACGTTGTAGGATAATATTGTAGGACTTATTGTACGGTCTTTGGTGGTGCAGGATTCTGTCCACTACTGGCGGCAGTCAGTTGGTGACAGGACAACGATCCGGATTCCACAGGACCAGTATGTTTGATTCTACGAAGGCATACCCAGTGGCTCCAAATCTCCTCACATGGGGCCTCCCACAACAAGTGCACAGTCTGTCAAAATGCACTGGCTTCTTTTCGCACTCTTCCTTTTGGACAGGCTGATAGACCGCAAGCCAGTGAATCGACCCGATCTGCGCGAGCGTTAACAGGTGTCGTGCCCGACAGCCAGGAGGTGTCCAGTCCCAACCAGAAACAATTGGTTCGTCCAATATGGCCATTGTTCGATCCTTTACATAGGAAGTGGCTTGTTTCTGGTTGGGACGGCTTGCCGGCTTGCTTACGGCTTCTTTGCCAACGGCTTTCTGTGGCAAAGGTCGGGCAAAATTCCCAGCGAAGCTTCGAATGGGTCGTAGAAGCTGATTGATTGAACCCTCCAAGGTATGCCAAACGGCAGTATGTCGGTGTTCCCCACCGACTACCTTGCTGTTGTGATTGCCCCTCCTTCCAGTAGGATGTGGATCGAGGATCAGCAGCCCACACTTAGTTTGCTGCGTTGATCGTGCTCGAACAACTCTACCGTCGCATCATATGATTGCAGTGAAATTGAAACAGTCGCATGGGAGCACTGGGGTGGCACCACAGGTTTCAACTCGCTCCAAAATGCATGTTACATGTGATCTCCAAAAAAAACAAAAACAAGATGGAACCCACGAACCCGAATGCAAACACCTTCAAAAAGCTACATATGTCCAAATGACACTCTTGTAAGACACTCTTGTGGGACACTCTCGTGGGTCACTCTTGTAGGAAACTCTTGTGGGACACTCTTACGGGACACTCTTGTGGGACACTCTTGTGGGACACTCTTGTGGGACACTCTTGTGGGACACTCTAGTAGGAAACTCTTGTGGGACACTCTTGTAGGACACTCTTGTGGGATACTCCTGTAGGACACTCTTGTGGGACACTCTTGTGGGACTGTTGCGGGACTCTCTTGTGGGACACTCTTAAGGGACACTCTTGTGAGACACTCTTGCGGGACACTGTTGCGGGACACTCTTGTGGGACACTCCTGTGGGACACTCATTTGGGGCACTCTTGTGGGACACTCTTGTGGGACACTCTTGCAGGACACTCTTGTGGGACACTCTCGTGGGACACTCTTGTGGTGGGACACTCTTGTGGGACACTCTTGTGGGACACTCTTGTGGGACACTCTTGTGGGACACTCTTGTGGGACACTCTTGTAGGGCACTCTTGTGGGACACTCTTAGGGGACACTCTTGTGAGACACTCTTGCGGGACACTGTTGCGGGACACTCTTGTGGGACACTCCTGTGGGACACTCATTTGGGACACTCTTGCGGGACACTCTTGTGGGACACTCTTGTGGGACACTCTTAAGGGACACTCTTGTGAGACACTCTTGTGAGACACTGTTGCGGGACACTCTTGTGGGACACTCCTGTGGGACACTCATTTGGGACACTCTTGCGGGACACTCTTGTGGGACACTCTTGTAGGACACTCTTGTGGGACACTCTTGTGGGACACTCTTATAGGACACTCTTGTAGGAAACCCTTGTGGGATACTCTTATAGGACACTCTTGTGGGACACTCTTGTAGGACACTCTTGTGGGACACTCTTGTAGGGCACTCTTGTGGGACACTCTTGTGGGACACTCTTATAGGACACTCTTGTGGGACACTCTTAACTCTTGTGAGACACTCTTGTGGGACATGGTTGCGGGACACTCTTGTGGGACACTCTTGTGAGACAGTCTTACGGGACACTCTTGTAGGACACTCTTGTGGGACACTCTTGTGGGACACTCATACGGGACACTCTTGTGGGACACTCTTGTAGGACACTCTTGTGGGACATGCGGGACACTCTTGTGGGACACTCATACGGGACACTCTTGTGGGACACTCCTGTGGGACACTCTTGTAGGAGACTCTTGTGGGACACTCTTGCGGGACACTCTTGTGGGACACTCTTGTGGGATACTCTTGTGGGACACTCTTGTGGGACACTCTTGTAGGACACTCTTGTGGGACATTCCTGTAGGGCACACTCTTCGTACGAGACTTCCTCCAAAACTTCCTCCAAAAGTCACGCGTCAAGTCTCAAAAACGAGCGTTTCGCACGAGACTTCCTCCAAAAGTCACACGTCAAGTCTCCAAAACGAGCGTTTCGTACGAGACTTCCTCCAAAAGTCACATGTCAAGTCCCCAAAACGAGCGTTTCGTACGAGACTTCCTCAAAAACTCACATGTCAAAGTCTGCGAAACGAACGTTTCGCACGAGACTTCCTCCAAAAGTCCAGCGGAAACACCCATCGGAGCACACACATCACGCAGCCCTGCCAAGCAGTTTCGCGATTCCAGCCCCTCCAAACAACATCCGCTCACACGCCAATCCCAATGTGACAGCGACATTCACCTCTACCACAACTCACAACCTCACGATTCCCTGCGCCTGCCACAAATCTTTCCGCATCCACACGTCTAACGCGCACAAAGTACTGCGCCTGCCATGATATGTCACCTCCGTCACACCTCGCAACCTCACCATTCCCTGCGCCTGCCACGAGAATCGCACTTCCACGCCTCAAAACCCACAAAAAGTACTGCGCCTGCCACGAAAAGTTGCAATATCGTCTCATGTCAGCTTCAACAAAATTTGCAACACACCACACGTTTGGAATGATTTCGACCCATTCTGAGCACACTCCCATCCACCTAAATCGCCATTTCAGCTGAGACTGGTCACGAAAACAGAGCTTCGATGCCACACCCTGAAACGCAAATCCCAATGGCACGGCCACATCCAACACCCCAAAAACACGACTCTCCAAACGCTAATCCCAATGGAACTGCGTAGCAAACTGAGGTTTTGACAAAACGCTGCGCCTGTGCAGCGAAATGCATCACGTTTCTTGCGCGACATGTCATTTTCATGCAAATCACAATGGAATAGCGTCGCAAACTGACACGTGACACATCCATGCCTGGTCACTTGCAAAAGCTTCCCCCAATGGCAGCGCCTTAGCGCTCTACTGCGGACGGTTGCGAACGGTTGCGGACGGTTGCGGACGGTTGCGAACATAGAAACAACGGGTCGCGAACAAGGCTCCACCCCCAGACCCCCAAGAGTTAAACGAGAACCCTTCGCTACGCATTCGGGAAAAACACTTTGTCCTGTTCCCCCTTCAAAAAAGCCGTTCACTCGGGACACACAGACAGGCTAGACAGGTGACCAGAGAAGCGACCAAGGCGATCAACACTCGGCCCCTTTCGGCCAGGGCCTGGTTCAAGCAGGTGCCACACAGCACTGCAAGCCTGGAGGTTCTTCGCGTCGACATGTGGGTTGCCCGCCCGTCGAGTCGATCGAGAAACACGGTGACCGTTGGGGTGCTGGCTCGGAATCATAGAAAGAAAGGGGTACCAGGTACCACAGACCGAACTTGTACACGGCTTGGGGGGCTGGGAATACCAACCCCTCTATTCATTCAAAAAAACATAGTGAAAGGTCACCTATGCGCCTCACAACCCACCAATCCGGCCCACAGCACCAAGGTGGTCGCTTTCCACCCACACATCCACCCCTGGTATGTTGGCCCAGAGACTCCAATCATCAAACTCAAGCCCCATCATCAGACTCTCATTGTTGCCCATGGCCGTATGCAGGATGCCACATCGAATCTGCATACAGATGATGAACACCCCCACCCAACGACACGGCCACTCAGGGTTAAATGAGTTATATAAATGGTGAAAATGCCCCCGGTGGAGGTCTTCTGGTCATGAGTGTGATTGAATGACATGAATGTTTCCATGAAAGTTCGTTCTCTCTAAGACTGGTCCAACGCCAGGTCCCATTGCGGGATGCACCCGCGCCTTGCAACATCCTCCTTACTGCTCACCCGAAAGCTCATGGCTCCGCAGCCCTCACCACGGATGAAGCCATCCGCTGACTGGCGGCCGATGGCCGAGGGAAGCTTCTCCACAACATAAACCACCGCACTTGAGGGGAAAGCATGGGAGGGACCCATGGGGATCTTTGGGCGCCAACGTGGTACACGTGATCCACTTCTCGAGAAAGATCTCCATCGGGCGGTACACCATGTTCAGATCGGAGGTGGTACGCAGAGAGAGGGTTCCATTTCTCCATTTCCATCCGTCCACACCTCTCCATATCGCGTTGGATCGCCATGGGTTGGCTCAACAACCACGAAGTTTGGGTGACCAAGATGTGGGTGATCAACACAAAAACACAGCTCTCCATGGTGGCAGATTTTCCAGAAGAATTGGAGCATCCACTGCAGATCAACAGCGATCACCCTTTACAAAGACCACCCTTCACGATGGAGAATTTGGAGGAACTTGGTAGGTCCATTCCATTCAGAACAACAGCTCACCACGGCGGAGCCCCATACACAAGGCCTGGGCCAACCCCTTGCTTGTCTAAGCTGGCTTGTTACGGGGACCTCCTTCTGGTGCCATCTAGCCACTTAACAGCGGCACCACCACCCATACTCCAAAGCATGCACTTGCAAGTATAGAAAGGCACACTACAACAACACCAGCTCCCAAGCTCCCAAGCGCACACAGCAGCGGCACCCTGCAGCGGCACCAGCACCCACAAGCTCTCAAGCGCACAAAGCAGCGGCTCCCTGCAACAGCACCAGCACCCAAGCTCCCAAGCGCACAAAGCAGCGGCACCAGGACCCAAGCCCAAGCACACACAGCAGCGGCACCCTGCAGCGGCACCAGCACCCAGGCTCAAAAGCGCACACATGCAGTTTTTCTTATACTTGAAGTACAGTAAGAACCGCAATAGCTCACGCTTTCTGATGCTATCTGGGGGAAAAAAACACAATGCGGTTGAAACTGGTGAATCCAAGGAACAACTGGAATGTGATCTTCCCAGCAAGTAGGTTTTTATGTCTAGGTTCACCAAGAGTATACCTTCGAAGAATCCTCTCCAAAAGCGCAGCTTGACAGAGGGTCTGAGCACCAGACAGTACTTTGCACCCATGAAACGTCCTCAAGCTCCCACCATTCCACCTCCAAAACCACCGACAAAAGCCCACCACCTGGAACCCAGGTCGCCCGGTCCGACCTGGTCAAAGGTGAAGCATCGCCCCACATGCGACAACCTGGAAAAAAGTGAAGGTTCGCATGACTTGGAAACTCGGAAAAATATGTACACCGACAAAAGAAAAAGGTCTTTCGATGATTCCCCAGTTCCAGTGGATGAAACGGGCGAATCCCCAAACAATTCCAGACAAATCACATCACCCTTTTTCAGCATGGCGCCAAGATGAAGGACCAAAATGACCGTTTTGGATTCCAAGACAGGCCCAGGTGACCTGAAATCGGGGTCAGCTCGCGTTGGCGCGATCCCAGCGGGGTGCGAAGGGTGATCGGTCGCAGGACCAGGGTCTGGAGACTGATTCAATCAAACACCCCCCACCATGAAGAGGTGTGTTTTTGTTGGTTAGTCAAGAGTCTACATTAGCTGTTTGATGGTTGAACCGCTCACTCTGCCGAAGCTTGCCCACTATCGTTGGTGAATAGATAGATCGACAACATCCAGCTATATACACTTGAGTGGACTGACTCCCATGCGACTCCACGGACGTCAGTCTAAGGGGAACTTCACGACCGTCGCCCCGTTCAGTGCACTCGTTGGGGCCCTGGGACTCCACACATGGAAGCACCACACAGAGCAATGGTGTAACTGAGCAGTGCGGTAAAGGCGGGTGCGTGGGGTGTTCACTTCCGCGCCTCTGCTGGTATTCTCAGCAGGAAAGATCAAAGCAGAAGATGAAGGAATCTGATGGAATGGGGAGACCCCTAATTTGTTTTGTCAATGTTTTTCCTCTTAGCAAGGGTCCAACAGAGTGTCTCCTGATGCCAAAACAGACCCGAGTTCGTGCCATATGAAGAAGTCCGTGGAACAACAGCTACAGCTAATTGGATGTTTCAAACCACCCTTTTCGCCTCATGGTGCGTACAATCTCACACCATCAAACACTATCACTTTTGCAGTGAGGCTGATGAGCACTGAGCAGTTGACCCCAAAAGAAATTAGCTCTGGTCCGCCGTCTGCTCCGCCGCAAAGCAGAACCTCCCACAAACCCCTGCTGCGGTGATGAACCAAAGCACTGCGGTGTTCTTCGTTCGCTCGCTCAACCCGTCGGTCTTCGCTCAACCCGACCGGGCTTCCGCACAAAGGGTCGAAGTGCCCATTGCTTCCAATGGCAATGCCATACTTCACCTGCGAGAAGCTCACACTGAGCAGCTGAGCAGCGAGCCCCACGCAGAGAGTTCTGCGATGGAACGCGCAGAGAGCCAGGGCTGGTTTAGCGCACTGACGTGAAGGTTTCAAGAGAAGGTTTGCACTCGCTGCAGAAGCAAACACAATAACAAAAGGTCGCTGCGAACCCGTGCCACATTGGCCAAACAGCTAAACTTCTGGGCTGGCTGGCTTGCATTCTAAAACCTCATTCCGGATTCCATCTCTGCCATCTCCGCTGCCCAAAACGGACGAACACAGCACCCACTAAAGGAATCACGGTTGCGACATGTGCTTGGAGCCAATTTGGACAATGCACCAACTCTTCTCGTCAGTCCGCTTGTTCAGGTCGTTCCAATTGGCGGGTCTTCTCCTGCCTGCTTCCTCATGGAGGCCATGTCCACACTCTCATCCGGCATGACAGGCCGCAAGTTCTGGCACGCGAAGAACGTGGAACCGCGCACGCGGATCGGCCCTGCGGGCCCTGCGGTGTGTTGGAGGCGGATCCCCAACAATGGAGTCCAATCATGACTCTGACTTACTGTAAATGACTGCGAGGTAAAGAGTCTCGCAGCAGTGCTTGCAAATGCACGCTGCAGCTCAAAAGGGGTAAAAAGGGCGTCTCAGCAAACCGCTCGATCGATCTTTTCCATGGCCAAGGCGGTGCATGAAACAGGTAAAAAGGAAAGGCTCAAAAGGCCATCTCGGGCCCATGCGACGAGTGGCAAAAGCTCAAAAGGCGGAAGGCTCAATTGGAGGGTACCGCATCCATTTCATATTGGTCTTTGTTCTTCAGCTTTTGCTGCTCCTCAACAAGCTGTGCCCATGGTGCTTGACACCATTTCAACAAGGCCAGCATGAGGCCATCATCAACCTTAGTGAGACCGTCACTGTGCATCAGGTGCGTCGGCACCCGTCGAACACTTCTTGGTTCGAAAACCTGCTGGACACTACGCAGCTCCACCATCAGCCGCTTCTCGGTGACCGAGGGGTTCTCCTGAACCAAGCAGTCGTAGAGGCTCTTGGCGTCAACGCAGAGCATGGAGGAGAGCATTGCTTTGCCTTGGTGCCATGCAGCAACTCCGTGAGGAAGAAGTTTATGAATGCTGCTCTGTCTCCTCCTTCGTCGGCCGCACAGGCTTCAGCTGCAAGCGTCGAACGACAGACGCGTGGTGAGCGTCCGCTCTTCCAGTCGAGAAGGACTGCATTGCAGGTGACCTGCGTCACCTGTGGTGGACAAAGTGTCACCAGCACACCAAACTGCGACTTGTGCTTGTCAGCGTTGGCCCAGCTGGAATCGGTGAACGTGACTATCACCGAAGCTAGGTTGAGCGGAATGCCCAAAAAGGTCAGGCCTTGCTCCTTGGTGCTGCGCACATGCTCCATCACGTCGTAGAGCTTCTGAAGGTCCTGGATCTGGGCTGCTCCGCCTCGGTGTGTCAGTGAGGTAGCGGCGCAAACATCTGGGCGTGTTTGCCCTCCCAACCATTGCAGACAGCCGCACACGCTGCGGTACTCTTTCATCTCATCGGCCGTGAGGCCTGGGTCGCCACTGAGGCGTCGTTTGGGCAGCTTGGCCGTGTGCATGTTCTCAATGAAGCCACGCTGAGTGACCTTGTAGTAGAACTTGCCGTTCTCCTCATGGAGGGAGATTTCTTTGCCACGGTACTCGCCCGGAGTGGACGCGGTGATGAGGGCGGTGCTTCCCCAAGAAAAGAGGTTCTTGAGGGTGTCGAGATCGAAGGTCTCGGAGTAGATGCCATGAAGTCATCAACGTGCACGATCATGAGGCAGTCGAGGAGGCCGTCTTCACCGCGGTGGGTATAAAAGCACCTGTCAAAGGAGTGCTGCTGGAAGGAGGCGCCCTTGACCGCGCGGTCAACTTTCTTGTACCATACTCTTGGGGCGTTGCTGAGGCCGTAGCAATTGCCAGTGACCTCATACAACGGAGCGGAGAAGCCACCAGAGGCCTGGATGATGGGGTCGGAAGGTGGCTCCATGAACAGCGGCAGATCGTGCCGTTCAGTTGAATCTTGTTCTCCCTGGAGGAATGCCTTGGTCACGAACACGGAGGACCGGTGGCTCATTCCAAATGTGCGAGCGAAGTGGGTTCTCACACAAGTACAACCGGTCATGCGCAATCTGGTACTCACAGATGTCGGCGCCAAGGGACACAAGAGGTCGTTGTTCATCACGAAGGGCCTCAAGTTCATCCAAGCGCCAGCTGTAGTTCATGTTGCGGTTGAAGATGGACCACTCCTTGCAAGGTAGTGCAAATCAAATGGCTGCACTGCTGACAGGCCAAAGTAGCCAGCCAGGGAACTGATGCGAGCTTTGCCACCGAAGACTTCCAAAACATCAGCTTTGCATCCATCTTTTCGCCATTGGGCGTGTGTTGCAAGGGCCTCATAGGCGTTGATCTCCTTTTCATAGGTCTTGCGGCTGCCTCGTAGGTGTCCGAGCAGCCATGTCACATTGCCCTTTTTTGGTAGTTGAAGGTGTCCCGAATGTTCCGGAGGTGGTCATTCTTGGGCTCATAGGTGAGGATGCCGGCGTGCTCGAGGAAGGGGCCTTCAAGGAGACAGCGGATCTACCTTGTCCCATTCGAAGCTCTCGTCCGTCTGAATCTCCTCGGGCTCGTAGATGTCGTAGCTCTCGTGGGTCCTCTTGGGCTTTGTCGATGCGGACTTGGAAGGCTTCTTGACCTGTTCCCAGTCCTTGATGGCTTCCATCGCAGCTTTGTAGCCCTTCGAAGGTCCACCGAGGCCCATGCGGAGCGCTGGGGTATGGTACTTGTCCTCGAAGCTGATCGCCGTGGACGAAGATGGTAAAGGCAGCGGCGGCTGCCGCGAGCCTCGAACTGCTGGTTCTAGCCACTTTTGCGCGGCATCGTCCCATTTCCACTTCTTGTTGCAGTCCTCGCACCTGCTGTAGCGACCGTGGCGGTTGCCGTATAGCGGGTGATCTTGTCGTGAGGGCATGGTCCCATCGCTCTCGTGTAGAGCTTCTCCTTCACATCCATGAGCAGTGGATCTTGATGGGCCAGCCATTCTCGAGGTCGAATTCGGAGTCGGACCGCCTGGCTCATCCCTCTTCCCAAGAGGATCTCCGCGTGAAGGAGGGTCCTCACCAGATTCCGCCATGCTTGAAGCCAGGCCGGAGGTCTTTGGGGCATCTTGTACACGATCGGTGTGAGCACTTGCAGCGGCTGCGAAAACAAACTCAGAATCAAAGCTATCGGAGTCAACCTTCGTGGACAGCTGCTTCCAAACAGAAAAACGGTGGGAGGACTTGGTGAACATGGCAATGTCAAACGCCAGGTGGCCACTCAACAAACAAATGGGGACGGTGCAATCAAACTCACTCAAAAAGGCGCATTGGTTGGGCAAATCCAAAACAGCTTTCAACTTGTCCTTCAAGAGGGTGTTGCTTCCAAGCAATGGGATGTCGTTGGAGGTCGTAAGAACGGAGGTGCCCAACAAACAGCATGAAGATTCCGTGGCATCAAACAACACGGTAGTAGTGCATGAAGTGAGCTAAACTGAGTAGGGCCATGACCAAACTCGAACGGCTCACGACTCGGCGAGGTCTTCGAGCGGAAGCGGAACTGGTTGACATGTTGTGACCAAAGTTCCAACCACGTGTTGCTGCAGCACGTCTTCTGGCATGCAGTATCGAGGATCAGGTGGTGGTTGAACATGGTGATGTTAGCACCAAAAACCTGGCGCAATCCCGATCCCAAGGGTCTCGATGGAGGCATCGTTGGTGATGAAGTGACCACATAGGTAAAGTAGGTGCCATAGGGGGATTCCATCTTGTCGTTGGTGTCAGTGTTGAAGGTCACTGACCGATTGCATCCATCGGGATGAGCAACTGTCAAAAGCACCTTTTTCCCAGACCCCTTGGTCTTGGAATCATCTTTGCCCATTTTGGGCTTGCCATCACCTGAAGGAGCACCGGACTGAGGGCACTCTTTGTCACCTTGCCAATGGCCTTTTTGACCACAAACGGCACAGTGGCTTTCCGCTTTGCGTTGAGCAATGCTTTTGCCACCACCAGAAAACTTCCTGCCAAGGCGCATGCCTGAAAGTCGACGGGCTGTCACCGTCAGGCAGTGAGCTGCCAAATCAAGGTCCGACATGTCGGCGTCTGCCTCTGCTTCATCCTCACCATCGAGGTCGCGAGGTTCAGCTTCAAGCTCATCAGGCGGTTGTTCGCCTTCATCTTCATGCGTCTCTTCCATCGTGCCCTGCTCCTCGTCAGCTTGGTCACCCTCGGGAACCTCAGTGAGATAGGAGGAGTGAACAAAGGTGTTGGAAGAGCTCGACTTGCTGGAGCTCTTGCCTTTATGCTTGCCTTTGCCCTTTGACTTGCCTTGATCACGGACAGGTTGGTCAGTCCGCTCTCTAGGCTCTTTGGTGTGGGTCTCAAAGTCCCGGGTGTAGACCACAGCAGGAACTGCACGATGCTCAGGGAACTGCGTCTCGGCCGCCTCTTTCACATCCTGGTAGCGGATGGAGTTGGATGTAGCGACAAGGATCATCCTTTGGGCTTCAGCGCTTAAGCGCATTCGATCCAAGAGTCTGGAGCCGGCGGCCTCTTCATCGTACATGTGGTTGACATGTACTCCACATGTACTCCAACAGCTGCTAGGCTGCGTTCGCAGCGATGGTAGCAGTGAGAGGCGTTCGAAGTCGTCCAGGAGCTTTCTCTTGAGGTATATGCCTTTCACCATCCAAGGAGCTCTGAGCGTCTCGAGGATGTACTCGATGCCCTGGGGATCATCGACCTTGTCGAGGTCGCAATGCTCGAGTTCTTCGGCGGCTTCGCCGCCAAGGTTCACGAAGAGGAACATGGAGGCCTCATTCGGGGGCAAATAGCTTCGAATCTGGCGGCGCCACAAAGCAAGCTTCCTCTCCCAGCGCTGAAAGGCTTGAAGGTCGCCTTTCTGAGCATCCCACGCCGGTGGCGAAGGAGGTGAGCCACCGCGATACTTCAGACCTGGTGCAGGTCCTTTGGTGATGTCCCAAGGCTTTTCTTGTTGGGACTTGTTGTGGATGCCGTGCATGGACTTCAACATCTCGTCGCGCCAGCCAGCATTCTTCGAGCTTCCATGGTCGGATCCGGCTTTGAGCACGCCGTCACCTTTCCCTTTGCTGGCTTTGGACTTGCCAGCATCAACATCTTTGCCGGCTTTGGACTTGCCAGCGTCAGCTCCTTTGCCGGCTTTGGACTCGCCGGTCATGGGCATAGTTTGAGCAGCTTGTTCTCGGCTCGGGGGAGGATCATCTCGTGGCACCTTAGGAGAAAGACCTGGTAAAACAGGGGCTCTAAGTGGAGTGTGCGCAGGTTGTTGAGGGACATGTGAATCAGAGTCTCGTCCAGCTGCTTGCTTCCGAGCTTTCCTCTGCCTTCGTGAAGGCCTTGTCACAGGTTGCAACGTTGAGGGATCAACGCTCGGGTCATCAGTGGGAACTTCTGATTCAGCGGTCTCTCGGGCTTCATGTCCAACAGGTCGTGGATCGTCATGGTGTGTCTCGCCTCGGGGAGCATGTGGAGTATATGTCCACGAACCCAAGCCTGTATCATGGCTATGAGGAAGGTTGGCATCGTAGAAGTTGGGGCAACCACAATCCAAACAAACATAGCCCTCTCCATGCGTTCTCCATTGTGTGCTGTGGCAATTCCTACACAACCAAAGGGGAACATGCACAAAGCCGTCAGGTCGTTGGAGTTCGGGCATAGAGCTATCGCTCGTGTCCTGGTCAAAGCTCGTCGTCCGGGGCGTCCACTGCCAAGGGTGGTCATCATAGACCGGGTCAAATTCAAGGTCGCCCGGCGTCTCTTCAGAAGCGGCCTCATCGTCGTGGGCAAAAGGGAAGCCGTAGTCATCTTCAGGGTCATCCCATTGCCAATCGTACGAGGTCTCCTGGGACATGCCGAGCAGTGAAGCAAAAGGGCGCAAGGCTCCGCGCCACCAACTCGCAGCAGTGCTTGCAAATGCACGCTGCAGCTCAAAAGGGGTAAAAAGGGCGTCTCAGCAAACCGCTCGATCGATCTTTTCCATGGCCAAGGGCGGTGCATGAAACAGGTAAAAAGGAAAGGCTCAAATGGCCATCTCGGGCCCATGCGACGAGTGGCAAAAGCTCAAAAGGCGGAAGGCTCAATTGGAGGGTACCGCATCCATTTCACAAAGAGAACGGCCAGAACCGGAATGAGAAGCTTTTCAGCTTTGACCAGTTTCAGACCGCTGCTGGGTACAGAGGAGTGGGAATGAGCTCCAGAATCCAAAACAAAAACATCATGAAATGACTTAGTATTGATAGAAATCTATCCACATCTTTCACGTTTACCCACAAACGTTCAAGACTCCCCATGCTGACGGGGCTTGGCAGGCTTGGCATTCAAATGTGTCGCCGCGTCACGTTGTGCATCAGGCCCACGGCAGACAGAGAAGACGAGCACGCCGTCTCCGTGGTGGAGACTGGACCTCTGCCGTTCATCGGAGGCGTTTTCGGTCGAGACAGGAAAACCAAAACCCAGCAGGTCCCCTACTGTCTCTGACCGTCGCATGAATGTGTGTGTTTTTCTCACGTTGTTTGTTCTCTCGGTAGAGAAAAGACGAAAAAAACAATCAGAACAAAAAGGATCAAAAAGGATCCTTTATAGGGAGACCATTTGGGGCATCGTTGTGTCCAAAATGGAAGCCCGACACGGCAGCTGGATGATTGCCCTGCACAACACATAACATGCGTGCCGTGCGTGGCAGAAAGGGGCTCACGAATCCGTTGAACCGGGCAGGTGACGAAGCACGTCGTGGTTTCTCCACGGGCCGGGCCCTTTTTGAGGAGACATGGGCCCAAAAAGAGGCCAAGCACCTTGCGGACAAATAGCTGCACCTTGCTTTCATTCACTGTTAGGCACATGCTGGCAAAGAATTACCCTTTTGATTCAAGACATGGGACAGTGTCTGAAAACTTGGGGGAGGTACAAGAAAGGTTGTACGTGAGAGGTCCATTAGGCTTTGGTCTTTCCTACCAGAACCGCATGGATTGAGTGAGTCAGGGGTAGATGAGGGTCCCCAAGTCACTTTCTGCCTGAGCAGAATGGATCTTGAACTCTGCACCCTGACGACTGCGACTTGGGCCGCTCCCTCCCACCTTTCATGCCAAAGACATAGTGTAATCGAGAAGCCTCAGGCGATGACGTCAGGCGTGCAGAACAAGACCGGCCAAGATGTTCGGTTCAAGCGCTGAAAACGAGGTCCCTACGAAAACATACGAAAACGTGTTCGGTTCCCCTCGCTCCAAAAAAAGGAGCGCATCTCCGGGCAAAAGAAGAGAAAAAGGCCACTCTCGACTCCTCGAGTCTCTTTCCTCGTGCATGTTTTTCGGTCCAAGAGACACAAGAAGACGGATTGGTTTGGAGGTAGAGGTCGGACTCGAATCCGAAATGTCCTGGCGTGCTGTCGAGGGCCACGGGTCCAAGCAGGTGCGTGTTCTGAACACCCGCCGAGTCGCATGAGCAACGTGTCACATGAGAAGCTCCAGTCTCCACTTAAGGTCCAAACTTCAAACAAGAACCGGTTCCCTCGTGGCCAGTCCTCGCAAGGCCATGTTGACGACAAACTCACTGGCTGCATAGCCAAAGCTGGCACACCTCAGAGCTTCCGCTGCACAGTAGCAGGAGCTTGGGTGACTTCAAAGCCGTGGGTGACGGGATGCTAATCTTCCCGGGTCAGAACGGTCAGGTCTCTGCAGATTTGAAGCTTGAATTGAGCCAATCCGTTGTGCAGTCCGACGTCCCGCAACGGTCAGGTCCCTTGAGACACCTTCCGCGACGATGTAAAATCGCAGCCGCGTGTGAATCGACCGCTCTCTGAGATCTTCGCATCTCCGTCCCTTGCAAGGACTCCCGGTTCCAGCCAGCCCGGAAGAAGCAGTCATAGCCTGGCATGCATGCTATGCTAGTCATAGCCCGTCGTCTCGCTCACGGCCTTGTTAGGCTGGATGTGAAAAAGAAATTTGGTTTGGAGAAAAACCTGGAAAACAAATGACAACAACATGGGAGCCTTCCATAGTCTTCCGCTTCCAAACATCCCCTACATGAAGTCGGTTTCGTTGGGCAAGTCGAGCATGGAAAACAAGGCCGTGGATTCTCAATCCCGGTGGAATCCCACCCGACCCAAAAGCTGGGTGGCTTCGGAAAGGGACGCGCCCTGACAGCTCCAGCGCCCTGACAGCCTCAGACAGCCCTTCGGAAAAAAAATATTCAAAAGATCCGGCACGAATTTGGTGCCACTGACCCTCTCCAGCCCAAGCCGTTTTTCTCTTTCCTCCGATGCCCACTTCACCCAAGGGCCCGTCCGTCACCCCGTCACCCCCAATCTGCTCCGCTGGACATGTGCTGGACATGTGCTGCTCCATGCTGTCGGGTGGCCCACTTCCAGGGCGTTCCGCTGGGTCGGATCCAAAAACTTCACCTGGAGAGAGGACCCCGAGAGAGTGGAGCGAAGGGAGAAAAGAAACCGCCTGGAGCTTTGGGAGGGAGAGCGAAGGGAGCAGGACGGGAATTAGGAGCACCCATTTTGAGATGGAAAAGACCTAGTCAGGGGACCAGGGGATGTCAGGGGGGGTCTAAAAACCAGTTTTTGGGGTGTTGCAGGGACATGACATCTTTGTTTTGCAAGGGTCTCTGCTTGGACCGTACAAGCTCCTTGAAATCAAGTGAAGCCAGACACGCAGAGGTGTCTGAGCCAGATAGAACCAGAAAGACCCTTGTTGGCCTTTCTTAGAGCCCGAGGAAGAAATGGTCAAAGCCTGTAATTCTCTCCAGTCCATCGATGTTGGATGATTTTGGACGCACAGGACCATGTTGCTGCATTGCTGGCCAAATGACCAAAGACTCTGCATTCAATGAAATGATGTCTTTTGTCAACGGCGAAAATACCATCAACTGCGCATTTAGATATCGTCTTAATTTAAAAAAACTCGGTCAACGGTCCTCAAAGAATGGTGATCCCTAACAAGCAGAGAGAGATTCTCCTCACCAGGTTTTCAGCACCCGCCCGTCCACCAAAGTCCGCACGGCGCATGGCCTCCTCCGGAGTCATGTTGAAGAACTGGTTGTCGAACATGGACATCTGCTGGTCTGTCAGCATCCCAAAATGCTGGATGTAGCCCTGTCGACAGGGAACCAGGGAACCATTTCTACGGGCAGTGAGTGCACTGTTTCGGCGCAAGCCGCCGTCCGGGAACCGTGACATCGTCGCATGACTCTCCGCAGTCTCGACCTGGGGGGCCTTTGTTGGCCACGAAGAGTGGCGATGGCTAACCGGGAAGGCCCAGGTGAAAAACATGTTTCACCCACACCAAAGAAAAAGACCTGGAAGTGATCGAAGGTTCATCTACATCAGGCTGCTCCACTCGGATGACAGATGGCTTCCAGATGTTCTGGCCCCATGCAGGCCGCTTTCTATAGGTCCTTGATGTCTAGGGTGCGTACGTTGTCTATTGCAGGTAGACAAAAAAAGACTCATCCAAGCCGTTTGGGTCCGTGCGCACAGTACATGCAGACAATCCATGTAGACACCGGCCAGAACGCCTGTGTTCTGGTGAAAAACGTCCAAACTATGAACATGTTCATACAGACTTCATACATCATGAGCCTTGCCTTTCAGCTGATTTGATGGGAACCCCTTCACCCCCCGAACCAACCGGTTCTTCGTATCGGTTCGACTCTGCGCTTCGCATCGGTGCGGTCCTTGCCGGAGACATCGGGCTCTGCCGAGTAGTACAACTCCAAGTCCCAACCTGAGAGACGAGTGGCGATCGATCGGGGTTGTCCGAGTCCGATCGAAGAAGTCGTCACCAGGAACTGATGAACATGGACCTTCCGGGCTACTGCGGCGGACGGTCCCTTTTTTTTCCACTCATCCAATGTATTCGATTGCTGGGAGTCTTTACGACCTACCACGGCTTTGCGGTGATCTCGGCACATCCTTTATAGATCGCCCCAAGTTGGACATTCCATTGAAGTCCCCATGGAATGGTTCGGGGGAATCCTACATGCTGGAGAATTAAGATTGAGTCCTGAAACTAGTTGCGCACCCAAACGTCGATCGTTGGATGTAGTGCTTCACAAAGCACTCTAGAGCTGATCCGAGGCCAGGAATTCTGGGAACATTGAGACCGATCTCCACATCTGCTCGGACACGGACATCATCTTCGTATTGGCCAATGGATGCTCGCAACCATCCAGCTGCACCAATCGAAAAGCTGGTGCTAAAGGGGAAGTTCAAAGAGACAGTGACAATTCCATCCCCATTCTGCAACACAAGGTCCGTCTCCAAGCGTTCTTTGTATGGTCCCTCGGTCTGAGTCTGCTCAGTCTCCCGTACATGGGCCCGGAAGTGCGGTGCAGGGATCGTGATGACACCCAGCGGCAGCTCGTACTTCACTGGGTTCAAGAAGATCTCAAAGTCTGAGTCTGGAGACCTCCCTCCACCGACGGTTTCAGGGTCCGGGAGCTCGATGCGCCAGCCGGGGCGTGAAATCATGCGAAGAATGGTTTCAGGAGACTCAGCCATCAACTCCGAGGCCGTCATGCTGGTGCGCTTGGCCATGACTTCATTGGCTCGACCTGGTTCGGTGGACACTTGGATTACCAAGTTGGCCGTGTCCAGGCCGGGAACGTGTGGAACGGGTGCCGACTTCGGCGGCGAAGCCGGCTCTGTACGGTCGACGGTGGGGCTGGAGCGCTTGGCCTTGGAGCGGCGAGCGGATTCCACAGCCAGGGAAGCAGCTATGGCATCGATCGACTGGAGTGACTGGAGTGTTTGGTCATTGGACATGGCAGCAGCTTGAACAGCACAGGCAGCATCATAGCCCTTGACATCACTACTTGTGGCCCACCAGGCAAAGCAACCCAGCATGGCCAAAAGCCTACGAAGGAAAGAGCGCCTAGGGCGCTGTGTCGGCTCATCCCCCTGCTGAGACGGGAAGGTTGCATCGTTGGCGAAGCTCTTCTCTGCCACACGGGAGGGGACCACCAGCTTCCTGGTCACGGAAGCACCCTCGATGAACACCTTGGGCAATATTGTGCAAGCCAAGAGAATCAGTACCACCTTTCCAGTGCGCAAGTGCTTCATGGCCCGAACGGAGGAAAAGGACCCATCCGTTTTTTTTTCCAAAACGATCTCGTTCAAACAAAATGAGAGCTCTGCTTGGAAAAGTTGCTTTGTCTTTTATTTCCTGCCCGGTGTATGTGTCTTTGCCAGGGCTCTGAAACAGCAGCAGTCAAACAACTCGATATCATGCAGCCGAACATCTTCAGGGCTTAGCTGTCAACTTGTCACTTGACTTTGTCGAACGTCTCAGGTCGACAAACACGTACATGCAGAGTTCATCTTTTGTTCCCCGTTTGGCTGAGTTGTCCACTTTGCCAATTTGGTCTTTGTGTATATATATAATACATGTTATATATATTATATATACATAGCTATTACTATAATTAGTCTCGTTCCACCACTACGAACCTGTAGATCCACACCCACCTCCGGCGAGCTCAAACACTCATCCTCAGTCCCTGACGGTCCAGTGGCACTCGAACGATGGTGTCACATCCTCCCGAAAGCATGGCCCAATAATCCTCCAGTCACGGCACGTGCACGAGTCTCCGCGGAGAAACGGAGAAACGACGGCGCCTGCATCCGCACCGCGGATCCGGTCCTCTGGTCCATTCACCAGGCCCGGATCTCGAACCTGTTCGTGGAAAAAAAACTACAAAATCAAAGGCTGGAAGGAGGGGCTTTGGGAGCTCTGTGTGGTTGACCATTTCTTCTAAAAGGATGTAAAAGGGCTATACAAGTGTCAGAAAGACAGAGTCGGACAAAACCCTCCGCAAAGGGATCTGCAGACTTCTGCGTCTGTTTGCAGAGAATGCGCTCCACTGACTGCCAGAAAGAAATTAAACAATCCCGGTCACAGAATCCCAACAAAAAATACAACTACAGTAGTGGAAATGTTCATTGCCGTACTTCCTACTCAATGTCAAGTTCGTACACTACAAGACAACCTTCGGTCAATGTGACTCTATTTCAGATGCAAACAACAAGTCCAACAAGTTGTGCAGACTTGTGTCTCATCCGATGACCATCCACTTCAATTACAGCCAGTGCACAATGCAAACCAAAATTTGACAACCCCACAAGAATGTAAGGAAATTATGTTTTGCTTAATCCCTTGCCCCTTATGTATCGTGTTGGAGTCCCTCTTCAGGTTGGGAATGTCCACCACCCCGCCCCGGCAAGCTGGCCGAAATGCTCATCACGTCCACGGTGTCGTTGCCCGTGCCTGAAGAACGAGCAATGCCGAAAACAAAAGAGTTGTATAAATTTGTTGAGCAGATATAGGTATAATACCAATATATACTACATCTACTATTATATCAGACTGTATTGTACTATGTTATAATTAATTAAATCTTACAAATACATTATATTGAACTATATCTTTGTGTCTGTGTATATGTATATTGTATGTGTATGTGTGTGCATGTGCATCTGTATAGTTACATGGCTATTATCTGTCTATCTATCTATCTGTCTATCTATCTATCTATCTGTCTGTCTGTCTGTCTGTCTGTCTGTTTATCTATCTATCAATCTACCTATCGCGCGACTTCGATCTCATGTCCAGTCACGGCCGTCTTGGCAGTGATCTGTGAGGCAACTGAAAATCATCGAGCGCAAGGATCAAGAAACCCCACAATCCGAGGCAAAAGCATAAACATGACGTCCTTATGTATCGAGATGTAACTATCCACTTTAGATGGGGAGGAGGCTCATTCTGCAACACCCAGAATTTGTTCGTTTAAGCTCATTCTGGGACACATGATTCGGCTCATTTTGGAACACAACCAAGGTACTATACCTTCCTGGGTTGCTTTCCTTTTTGATCTCCTTAAAAAAACGAGAGGGGGCGCGGGGCAGGGCGCAGCGCCTCCGCCGCAATGTAAACCAAGTCTAGTGACGTCGTTGGTGGGGCTCGTTGGTTGCTTCATTCATTGCTTGGCTTAGCCCCTTAGCCCCCGCGTGGCTCACAAACGTCATGCTTTGGAATGGCACCTTCTTGCCTACATGTTACCCTCGCGTGGCTCACAAAGGTATGCTACCTTGAAATGGCACCTTTCTGCTCTAAATTCAACCCCCGCGTGGCTCACAAAAGGCATGCTTTGGAATGGCACCTTCTTGCTCTAAATGTTACTCCCGCGTGGCTCACAAAAAGGTTTGCTTTGGAATGGCACCTTCCTGCTCTAAATTTTACCCCGAAGCAAACCAAAAAAGAGACACCAAAAAACAAACATCAGGAAAAAAACAAAGCCACACAACCAAAAAAACAGCAGAGAAAAAAAGCAGCGCGAACAAAAGCATACACAAAAAACGCATAAGAAGAACAGAAGCCGACACAGAATAAACAGTCCCAAGAAAGAAGCCACAACCTAGTATAAGAGAAAACAAGAGGGACATAAAAACCAGCCCGACGAAAAGAAAACACCGACAAATAAACACCAGAAGAACAAAACACCAACAAAAAAAACACCAGAAGAAAAGAAAACACCAAAACAAAAGGATAAAAAAAGAACACCAGAAGAAAAGAAACACCGACAAAAAATGCACCGCAAACACAAAAGACCTCCGCAGAATCGCCCGCGTTCAAGATTGAGACCAATCGTCCGCTTTCCAAATTGAGACCAATTGCGCGTTCCAAAACGAGGCCGGTTCCCTTTAGATATGTATATTATATATATGTGGTTCAAAGCTCCAATGTCTCGACCGGGCCGACCGGGTCGACTTTTTGTTAGGTGGGTCTAACAAACCAGACCCTTGGAGCACGGCCGTAGAGCGGCCCCACAGGAATCTTCTTCAGAGCCTTTCAGGTGGCATCGAAAAGAAGCTACGGGTTCGGGGCGAAACTGGCATCGCGACTCGAACGGAGCGATCGGACGCTACAATAAGTATAAGGGGCGAAACTGGCCGTACTACTAGAAACAATAAAGCTACTAGGGATGGAATTTCTGCCACAAACTTTCAGAACATCGAGTGAAACATGACGTTTTCTTCACAGAAAAGCCCAAAAAAAGCAGGGACCGTGTGCCACCTCAAGTTGGGAGGTCATTTCCAGATCAAAGGTTTTTGGTCAGAGGCACCGCCCACAACGCAGAGTTGAAGGGTGCCAGTATGATGCGGCTGTCCAGGGTTTTCGACAAGACCTTGGAAGCTTGCAGTTGTCGAAGCTGCTTTTGGGTGGGCTTTCGGAGGGGCCAAGTTACCGGTCTGCACGGAGGGTTTGATAGGGACATCGACCACAACGATTGGGAAATCGAGCACCGCAGGCTTTTGTGGGGCCAGCCATGGCCGATCAAACCCTCCGAATTGTTTGATGTCGAGAATTGTCGATTGGGGGATGCTAACGAAATCGGTGCCGAGCTCGGAATGTTTCAGAGTGGCACCCCCGTCCTGAAAAATAGATGGGGTCCATATAAAGCACCAAACTGGGAAACTACCATAGCACTATTATCTACTCTGAAACTAGTAACAAGTGCATCGCTTCTAGTAACAAGTGCCTTACTAGTAGTA